TTTTTGTAACTATATATTTATGGTTAATGGATGCAAAATATAGAAAACTAAATATAGTTTGTGACCACAGAGAAAATTGCCTAATTTAAAAATATTAAGTACAGTAATGCTATACTTACCGAAGAATAAATGTATCTAAGAATTTAAATTTACTTTTATCTGCTACATAAAAATAGGATACTCATTACTAAAATGCACTGTCAAGATACCAGTACATTATATTTTTTTTAAATACCAGTATAGCTGGGCATGGTGGCACATGTCTGTAATCCCGGCACTTGGGAGGCTGAGGCAGGAGGACCGCTGTGAGTTCAAGACCAGTCTGGGCTACACATTGAGTTCCAGGGCAGTCTCAACTACATAGTGAGATCCTGTCTCGAAAAAAAACAAAAAATCAAAACAGTGTATGTCCCATTAGTGTAACAGTGTATCTCAAAGAAGTGTATGTCTTCCTCTTTCTACCCTTCCTCCTCCTGTTTAATTTCAAGGCTCAACTGAACATTAAACAGCGGTGATAATTATTTTGTGAGAAGTACTCAAATAACATAAATTCAGAGCCTTTTTTGTTTAGATTCCAGTTATATTGGTTAAAACCATATTTCTGAATATTTTCTATCACTCTATGTTACTGATTTTTTTTTTTAATATTGAGAAGTGGTAAAGCACAAATTCAATACAGAATTGAAAAATAGGTAACAAGTTGGCTAGAAAGTATATATATTTCAAACATCTTGTGAGGATAGGAGTAAAACGCCCTGAGTTCTTACCCTTTCACTCTTAATTGTTTAGGTGCAAGTGCTGAAAATTTTCTACTTTGTTTTGGTACCAGGGATGGAACTCAGGACCTTGTACTTGCAAGGCAGGCAAGGTGCCACTGAGCTGAATCCCTGGCCTCCTCCCAATCTTAATATACATAAATTGCATTTATGCAAAACATTGCAACTTTTTTCTTTTCTTTTTCAGACAGGACTCCCTATGTAGTTCAGGCTAGCTTTGAACTCGTGTAGTCCAGGCTGGCCTGAAACTTGTGAGGATTCTCTTTTAGCCTCCCAAGTGCTGGGAAGTGCTGGGATTACAAGAATCCGCCACCATGCCTGGCTAAACATTGTGACTTTTTAAAGTTCACTCGAAATGAATCTTGTGGACTTACTTGGGGATTTCAAGTCATGTTCCCCTAAAAGAATTTAGATTTATGTCATGAAAAGGTTTGTTCTGTTTTCAGTCAGAAATTGGTAGAGCTCTAATTTATGAGAACTTGTATGTAGTATTCCTAAGTATTGATATTCAAGGCCACACTAAGATTTCCTAAATGCCCAGTGCCAGAGATGCATTTCTGCCTGTCTTCTTCTTCCCATCCAGCTCAGAATCCACTCAGTATGTGAATATTTTCAGCTATGTCGGGCCATCTTTTTCTTTGCTTGAGTTCAAAGTTCATCCCTAGAAGATTAGTCCTTCGTTGTCTTCATTGGTTCATTGAATTGTTTTATCCCCCTGGCTACAGCGTGAGCTTTCAGGTGACAAAAATAGTACCCTGAACACTCAGGGACCACTGTAGCCATCCTGAAGCCACATTTCTTCTCCTCATGTGAACTTAGATGGGCCGCGCATCCTGTTACTGGTGTTAGCTGCTGCTTTTCAAAAAAGGTTTATCAGTTGAATATTATAAACACACAAAAAATGTTTTGTCATTATAGGTAACTTTTCAGGGTGAAAATTATTTTTATTCAGGATTTCCAGTAGTCCCCTACATACATGTTTTATGAGGTCTAAATTATGCTTTAATTTAGATTTAGACTCTTACTCCAAATTATGTCTAATGTTTAAATTCTCGATAATAAAATACTATATCAATTTGGTCCTGATTCTGTATATCTTTTGGTGAAAGTCACAAATTCTTTGCCTTAGGATGTTGCTAAGATATTAGAGTGCCCAGATAGCAGTGTTTAGGAACCTGCCTGAATGACTTATCTTAGTAAAAGTTCTTTTGAATCTGCAAAAATATTAATAGGTGAATTTAGGTCCTCAAAAAGATGGTCAGATCCTCAAATTATAAATGTCTCAACAAAGCCTAGATAGATTTTACAACAGTCTGAAGTAAGTTATTACTACAAATGTTCTTTTGTCTTTACTCTTAAATGCAGCAGTAATGTAGACACCACATAAAGCTAGTGTCCTACTCTTGTGATATTAGAATCTCACCTGACAATAGCTTGCGGTTTTCTTAGTGGTACAGATCTGCCTTTGGATGAGCCGCTGTTGTTTCATCTCTCACTCTCCCACAACATTGTTAATTTCCATTTTCTAGATTTTCTTTCTTTCTGCTATGCTTTTGCTTGTTCTCTTTTCTTCCTCTTTGTGGGACTGGGCCTGAACCCAGGCCCTCCTATTCTTCCACTTATAGCTTCACCTACTCCTACACTTCTAGGATCTACTACCAGTGGAGTATCTACTCCATCCATCGGACGCCGGATATTTTTTTAAAACTCTGAACTAGTGGCAGTGCTGCTGGAAGAAAGGGAATATCTCCTAGGAATGAGCCAGGAAGGAAGGCTCTTCGGTCTGTATTACAGCATTCTGATTTGCGAATCATTGCTACTGCTAGAGAATGGTACCCTGTGGACAGCAGGGAGGCAGAGCAAAGGCTGCAGGCCCCTCACCCTGTGGGTGTCAGTACCTTGCTCCTCTATCCTGAAGGCACAACAGAAATAAAATTACAAAAGGACCAAAGAAATCATAATACTTAGTGCACGAGTTTTGAGATTTTGTATTAAGCTTGTGGTACCTTCAGTCTGAGGCATGCTGGGCCCTGCATAATGCAGGGAAGTTAAAAGGGGTACAGGAGCCCTGCTCCATCCAAGGGGGCTCTACAGAGAGCAGTTTGTGTGGGGGTTCATAAGGAAAGTCCAGGACAGCTGTTTAGCAAAATGGCCTCTGAAGACCAGATGAAGGAGCAAATGATGGTGGGTGCCCTGTCCCTTTTCTGAAGGGTAGGAGATTGAGCAGAACCTAAGGAGAAACCTACAGCTTACAGAGTAAACTAGCTAAAAGAAAAACAAAAACAGCGCATGCCGCAGTGTACATTTACTTTAGCAATATAAAGATCCTCGTGGGCCGGGGATTGAGCTCAGTGGTGCCTTGCCTACCTTACAAGCACAAGGCCCTAAGTTGGATCCCCAGTACCACACACACACACACACACACACACACACACACACACCCTCATTAGTAATTGGCTGAGCCATTCCTGTGCCCTGTGGCTGGAGGGCCTAACACACTTCCCACTCTGTAATGACTGGCTGGGAAATTCAGATGAGACCATGCCTGTAGAGAGCTGGCATTAAGGGGAACCCACACCATTTTGAGTTATAAAAGCTACCAGACAAGTCATATGTCTAAACTGGTCACAGTTTTTTAGCTCTGAGGAGTTGATGATTCAAGGAGGTAGGAGAATATTAAAAACTAAATACAATATGTTGGTGATAAGCTCCGCCAAGAAAAAATTATATGTGGAATTCAATAAGGAAGAATTAATGAATACAAATAGTATTGCTAGTAATAGGTTACATCTGCAGACATCTTTGTAATTTTTGAAGTGTGCTTTTTATATCATTCCCTTTATTCTTGGCCTAGTCAGTGATGTACAGAAGGCAGGAAAGGAAAGTAAAATCTTAGAAGTAGCTTAGAGTTCTGATTGTATTAAGTGGCGGAGTTTGAATCTGAATTAAGCAGGTCTTCTTCCCATTCCACTGATAAAATACGTCCTAGAAGGTCTCCAACTTGGAAGGGAGTGGCAGATTTTAGAGGACCTGGGTGATTCTTTTTTTTGGGTTCCATAAAATAGCTTTTCCAGATTTTTTTAATCTGGAATTTTAAAAATCTGCATAAAAATCTTTAAAGAAAAATTTTACAGAAGTCGTGAAAGCAGTTGATTATGAGTGCTAAATTGAGGTATTTTGTTGGTTTTGTTTTGCTTTTTCATTAAATCAATGATAACAGTCAGTGTAAACAAGGGTTTAATTTATTTGGGAACAAATAATTCGCACATTATTTTTGTGTTCTTTTCTAGAAGGTTGTTGGTATGTATCAGTTACACTTTAAACTTTTCTTGGTGTTCTTGAAGTAACTAGCTCACACGTGTTGATAAGAACGCATCTCCTTCTCCTGTGAGCTTTCCCCCAGATAGTCTCATCTGTAGTGGAATGCCTTCTGGCCTCGTGGGCCTTGCATGCCTTGCCAGGCTCAGCCCAGGAGTGTGTGTCATACATCTCTGTTCTAGACCAAAGGACATTCTCTGGGTGTCTGATAAGGTATCTCTTCCCTCCACTTTAAATCCTTAAGCCCTTTGAATAAGTTAGGTCCCAAATCTTTCCTGATCGCTTTAAATGTCAATGTGACCAGAAGTAGTACAGTTAAGAGTCCAGGCAGACTTTGTAGAGTCAGGTGGGGGCAACCATAGCAGGGCAGGACTTGTTGATATTTTTCATCAAATGTGAGCAAACATTATCTCTGATTGTGCTACTGAATTCTGAACAAGAGGCCCTCATTTATCCTGGTTTTGGGACTCTATTGAGTAGAAACCAATTGTGCCATGGTATATAGTGGTTTCATAAGCTGCAGAAATGCCTATCGGGGAGGGGTGAGCATGAAACCTCTAAAGTCATCATTTACTCAGCAGCCCAAAAGGAGATGAGGAGCCACAGGTTCTGGAGGTGAAAAGTGAATGTCTGGTTCCTACTTCCAGCCTTTGCTCCCACTCAGGGTCAGTGAGGATGTACTGTCTGTTTTTTTGGGGGGCGGTATGTACCGGGGATCGAACTCAGGACCTTGCACTTGCAAGGCAGGCAGCAGCACCACTGAGCTAAATCCCCAGCCATGTACTCTTTTATAGCCAGATCTTATCCTACTAGGGGGTTTTATAAATCATTACAATAAAAATATTTTTGTGTCACCCTACCCTTGAAATAGCACAACCATTTCATTCACACTTCTATTTGTTGCAGAGAAAGCAGCAGCTGCCAACATAGATGAAGTGCAGAAGTCAGACGTATCATCCACAGGGCAAGGTGTCATCGACAAGGATGCGCTGGGGCCCATGATGCTTGAGGTAGCGTGCCTTCATTTTGGTTCTGTATTCCAAATTGTTGATCTTCACGTGATTGTAGTTGCAGGTGAATATAATTTAAGAATAACCCACATTAGTGCTATATTACAGACCTCTTGAGCTCACTAATGTGTCTATGTTATCTGTGTACGTTCTGGCACCTGCTACTACTAACATGTTTACTTGAAACTAACAGTATAGAATTAAGTTAGCCAGATGGGAATATAAATTGACAGGTTTTAATTGACAGTTGAGCACTCATTTTGGAAAATTACATTCACAGGTGCTCTAGTTTGGAATGCTACCCCAAAATTCTAAATTTTCATATGCCATGTACCTCTGCTTATATATATAGGTTAAAATTTGAGAAACAGGAGGCTTCTGCTTTTTGTATATGCTACTTATACCAGCTTATTTGCCTCCTAAAGATGAAAACCAGAGGAATAGGCAGAAGGAACTTCTAAGATAAGCATAATGTAATGGTTGATCTTAACTGCCTCTTCTTTATTAACTTTGGGAAGCTTTATGGCTGGCTACTGCTTAGAATTTGTAACATCCAGTTTTCCTGTTTTATTAACAAGTACTAAATACCCGGTGCTTTGCTATACCTGTTCCAAAAATCAAAATTCAAGATGTAGTCTAAAGTAGAATGAGAGAATAAAAAATGTCAGGGAATATAACAAGAAACAGAGGAACCTTGAGACATAAATTATGTCAGTTCTCAAGATAATTTACTTTGCTGATAATATGATGGGGTTGAAAAATACCACATGAGCATGCAGTACTGTCATTATAGAATCAGAAGCTTGCTGCAGCTGCCACACATATATAAGAAATTACGATTTTTAAAACAAAGATAACTAATTCTCTTTTGACCTTATTGTCACCTTTTCTTAGTTGGTGAATAATATGATTTTTATTTTTAGAAAATCTAATTCTGTGAAAATCTACCATCTAATTGGGGGCAGTAGGTGGGAGAGAGGAAAAAAAAGATTAAAGATCATCTGGCCCAGTCTTTGTATTTACAGTGACAGAGTTCATTCCTTAGGGCTGGACCTGCTGGCCAAAAGCCTTTAAATGACCCAATGTTAGCAGTTGTTTATCTTTTTTTAAATCACTTGCTGAAAAACATTAACCACAATTTCCAGGGAAAAAATAAGAACAGACTTAACCTGATTTTCCAGACTCATGGAAGCAGTGGAAGACCAGAGAATGCTGCTTTCTACTTGATTGTTAGAAGCAGATAATGAAGACTGTATACCTAGGTGGACTGTTTAGAATTACATGAAAGAAAGTGGGTGATTTCCTCTGTAAAAACTTTAGAACTAAAAACAAAACCGATTTGAAAATTATTGTAAGCTAAATGGTTACAGTTGGGAAATTTTTATATGTTTGTGTTTATTCATTATTTCTGGTGGGAAAAATTAGAGTAGAAACTCCTCGGAAGACTTTTGAGACTTGTATAAAGAAATGCTTAGAGTAACCACAAGACTATGATTGAAGCCCTTTGGGTTTGAGGTCATTAATGGTAGAAAACCAGATTGCTACCTACTTAAAAGCAAACCAACATTTTTGCTGTTTCAGAATGATATTCTCACAATTCAGTGCATTGAGCAAGTAGGTACCTATGTAGCAGGGCTTTAGTGCTGAATATGTTAAAAATAGTGTTGAATCTAATGACATGGTTTGCATTTAAATCTTGTACCCCTGTTTACATGAGATCATTTAAACAGAAAACACATTCTCGTGGAGCTGTTCCTAGGCATAGATGCACACTCATGCTTACATCATAGCATAGTGGTTGCTAGGCAACAAAACCAAATGTCAGCTTTTTTCATCAGAGCATATCATAGTGAGCTTTAGAAAAACACAACCATTTTTATGAGATGAAACAATTTCATCTTTCCGTTTTATTAGACCACAAATCAATCCTTTTACGAAGCAGTGGGAAGCAGTTTGTACTTTCAAAAGTGAAGTATAGATAATATAATTATAAAAATTCCTGTTGAATGAGTTATCTGACACGGTGAGTTTAAAGGGATACTTGGTACATAACTAATCAACTGTCTTTCTGTCTCCCTTGTCAGTGCATACACATACACACATACACACAGTTCTCAAGGGTTAGTAGTATCAGCCTACTATGAGAAAACCTGACAGAATATTTAAGAAAAACATAAAACTAACTAGTGTTACTTTTTTAAGAAACATCTGGTTACCTTATGTCATTTACGGTTTGAGAGAGAACTTAGTTTTCTGATGAAAATAGATGTAACTGTGGGGTATATTTAAAGATACCTCACCAAATAAGGGGCCTGTTAAATAATAACTTAAAGAAAAAACTTGAGCGAAAGCAAACACTTAAGGCCCTATCCATGCCCACAGTTATCTTTGATGTTCATGTTAAACACATATCATGAAGAAACCAGTTAGCACAAACTAATTACACCAGGTGTCCCTGACCAGTATCAAGCCTTTTCTAGTCTTAATCATTCACCTGATCCCTAAAACATAGCCCTGATATGCAGTGGTCAAAAACGGATTGCAGGAGTAATGTACCAAGGAGACATGTACCGAACCTCAACCTTTTCATTGCTAAGGCAGATGTGATAGAACTGGGTTGAATGGTAGAGGAGAGCACACTGCTGCTCGGACTTGGAACCTTGAACTTCAGAGTCATGTCTATCTAGATTTAAATTCCAGCTGAGCCACTGATAAGTTAGAAGACCTTGAGCAATCACCTAACCTTTTTGAACCCCAATTTCCTCTTCTTTAAATTAATAGAGATAACTGGGTATGGTGGTGCATGCCTGTGATCCCAGTGCTTGGAAGGCTGAGGCAGGAGGACCACCACAAATTTTAAGTCAGCCTGGGCTACATAGTGAGTTCAAGGCCACCCTGAACTACACAGTGAAAGCCTGTTTCAAAAAAGCAATCAACCAACTAAAAGATTCCTTTCCACAGTTATAAATGTTGGAATGACACAATATATAAAAGACATAGTACTATTATCTTTTCTTCCTGAAAAGATCTCTTCATCTCTTTCCTAAACTACATTGAAGTGATACGTTACCAGAAGCATGCTATCATTATTTAGGTAATTTAGGAACCTGCACTTTAATCTGGAGAACAGCACAAGTAGACTCTGTCCTGTACATGCCAAACAATAAAGGACTGTTTGTTTTTTGTTTTATTTTGTTTGGAAGTTTTAAGATCATCTATAGTTTTGGAGCCAGGGATTTAGTTTAGTGGTTCCACCACCTGCCTTGCAAGTGCAAGGTCTGGAGTTCAATCCCCACTACCAAAAAAAAAAAAAGATCATGTACAGTTTTAAAAGTAATAAAATTGTAGTAATAGTAATATTTCCATTTGATACTGAAAAAATAGCGCCGGTGACCTCTTCTTCCCATATATAACAAGAAAAACTGTAGAACAAAATGACTGTATATTGGGTTGGTATCCAACACAAAAGTTGTTTTTAACCCTGTGAGGTACACCAGTCTCTATTCGAAAATACAGATAACTATCTCGATGTTTTTATTTGGCAGCAATGATCTCTTGATATATTAACAGTACTTGTTGTTTAAGTTATGACAAGAAACCCTATTCTAGGCTCTCTCGCACTAACTAAAATGGAATAATTTCTACTTCCTGAGAGGAACATCTTTTATCTAACTGTGACATAAATATTTCCCTTACAGGGCTCATTCCCTTCTTAACAGTTGCATATAATTTTATTTTGCATTCTTGTTAAAGCAACTTGTATCTTTTCCTTTAGGCCCTGGATGGGTTCTTCTTTGTAGTGAACCTGGAAGGCAACGTGGTGTTTGTTTCAGAGAATGTGACACAGTATCTAAGGTATAACCAAGAAGAGCTGATGAACAAAAGTGTATATAGCATCCTGCATGTTGGGGACCACACTGAATTTGTCAAAAACCTGCTGCCAAAGTCTATAGGTAAATGACTGTCTGCTGGGCCTCCTCCTCCCCACCCATTCACACGCATTGTCTTAGTAGGACCAAGCGGATAAAACGGCCCCATGCTGTCAGTTGGGGATAAGAATGGGGTAGTTTTTGTTGTTGTTGTTTTGGTTTCTTTTTTTTGTTTTGTTTTTGTTTGGTTTTGGAAGCTCTTGGTATTAAGTATTTAAGCTTAGAACTGATCTTTAATGAATGATCGTTTTGATCATAAACTGTTTGAAGTACATTACAATGATTCGGAAAGGTACCCACTACAGCTGTTTCATGGAGTTTATTTCTGTTGGTTTCTAAGAAGGTAACAAGTTGCCTCACCCTATCCAGTGTCAAATTCAGATCTGTCCTTTTTTTTCTTCTTCTTCTTCATAACAGAAAAATAGAAGGTTGTAAGTTTGAGATTCAACTCATTTTGAGTCCTGCCTGTGAAAGGGTATGATGTATGTGGGCTCCACATTGAAACACTAAGGAACAAAACAGCATACAGAGTTCCGTGACCGCTTTCGTGTTGGAACCCTAAGTGGCTCTGACACGCACTGCCTTCTTAGCCCACTCAGCCTCTCAAGTTTCCTGACTTCACCTCACTTTGGAGTTGCAGCCCAGAAGTGTGTGTGATGACAAAAGGGCCGCGTTCTAAAGTGGATGACACACAGCACGAGCCCACCTTAGTTGCTGCCTTACAATGTTGCTGTTCCCACTTACTCAGTGGTTCTTTTTTTAATATTCTCACTTAAACTGATGACGCTAAGAACATCTTCACAGATAAGTGCGTATTTTAATAGAGAATGAGGTCAGGTCCTAAACTGTCAAGTATTTCTGTACTTTTTTTCTTACAACCATTTATATTACCTGGTCTTAATGTTAGCACCATAAGTAGCAAAAGATCCTTTTCAAATTCCATTATGGATAGCTTTCCTTGATAGGATAACTCTTTGTTCAGAGTAACTGCAAAGGTAATACAAAATGTATGGGATTCCTCTATTATGCTCTTTAGTAAATGAATAAGAAAATGGATTTATTTTAAGTAACTAATATTTTCACATCTCTTCAGTAATTTCATGACTTCCTCAAAGGATCTGTACTTATTAATTCATTTGTATAGAGACTTCTTTGCCTTTTGTAATATTATACCTACCTCCCACCTTTTTTTGGCGGGGGGGTTTGAGACAGGGTCTCACTATGTTGTTGAGACTGACCTGGAACTCACTATGTAGCCCAGGCTGGTTTCGAACTCACAGCAATCCTCCTGCCTCAGCCTCCCGAGTGCTGGGATTACAGGCGTGTGCCACCACGCCCTTGCTCTCCCCGCTTTTTTTTTTTATTGATACTAGGGATGGAACTCAGGACCTTGATGCTTGCAAAGCAGGCGGTGGTACCATGGAGCCAAATCCCCGACCCCGTTATGCCCTTTTTTAAACTTTCAACTAAATTATTAACCTGAATAAGAACTCTGTTTTTCTTCTTTTTTCTTTATAGTCTCCATTATGTAAATAAGCTTTTACAAGTGTTAAGAGTGGAGTAAATTTTCTGAATGTCTGAAAGACATATATAGCTGGCTGTAATTCTTTCTGTAATTTTGAAATAATTTGTTACAATTGGCTGGATGGTCACTTGGTTCCTGTCTAGGATTTCTTCCCTTTTTCATCCTCTGTAGCGTAGTCTAGTGGTTGTGGGTTTAGCACCAGGATCGCTGTAGCACCCCCTTTCCTTCTAATAATTGTCCAAAATGACTTTGGAGGTGCATTTGCTTGTCGTAATGCCTTTTTTTCATCCCCTATTTCATTGTCCTACTGGTTCCATTGTCCGGGGGTGGGGGTACCAGGAATTGAATTTAGGACCTTGCACGTGCCAGTCAGGTGTGGTGCCACTGAGCTAAATCCCCAGCCCTGGTTCCAGTGTTTTTTAACAGAGCATACAGTACAATAAAGAAGAGAACAGCAGAATGAAAGTTACCTGTTTCTGATTTCAACTCTTCTAGTACTTGACACTTCTTGAGTGTCACTTTTCTTATCTGATTTACAAGTACATTTTAATACCCAACATCAGTCATTCTTTTATATCTTTCCTTTTCGCTAATGCATCTCAAAAAAACTGATATCTTTTGTTCAGTATCTTTCTTGAATTAATATGTACATCTTTTAGTTTGGTTACTACTAAAATAGAAGATTTGTAAAGTAGTTTTTCACTTGAAAAGAAGTAAATAACAACACTGTGTCTTCATGGGTTTTTCAGTATATTACTGAGGAAATATACATGAACCAGTTAAGAAAGACTACAGTAGCTGGGAATTTAGCTCAGTGGTGCTGCCACCTGCCTCCCAAACGCAAGGTCCTGAGTGCCATCCCTGGTACCAAAAAAAGAATGTTAGTAAAGACAAAAGGAGGCAGTCTAGGAGCCTGAGTGGTACCTGAGTGTTTCCTGCAAAGGATCTCAGCCTTGTAGCACAAGTACCTTTGGAGGGAGAGATAGTATCAGCCTCATATTTTAGGTCAGGTAGCAGCAAAAGCAGGTGTCTCTGGGGAACTACAGTGGGATATGGAGAGGCTTAAACTCAAGAATGTGGCAGATCTGGTTAGATGGCTGAAGTGGGCTTTATACTCTGGACTACATTAAGTCCAAGTCCTTTGGAAGAATTTGAAGCATGTGACAGTTGGTGCCATTTACAGAGTTTTGAGTAGGGGGTCACACTTCTAAATCTAGAATACAAGTAATTGAAGTAAATGTCCAAGAAATACAAAACCCCCAAAATAGATACTGTGGTATTCTAGTAACAAATAATCAAGGCAAGAACTTGAAGGGAAGCAGTCTGGGATAAGAGTAAGAAGTATAGAAGGCTTTTTTGAAAATTCCAAGAATGTTCCCAAGTTGTTAAACTATTAAGACTATTTCCCTTCGGCCAGGGATTTAGCTCAGTGGTTCTGCCGCCTGCCTCGCAAGCAGAAAGACCTGAGTTCGATCCCTGGTACCCAAAAAAAAGAATATTTTCTCCTCTGGATTATGAAACTATTTAGAAAAGTATGAAGCACTTTGTACAAGTAAAATAGCCACATTTTTCTACACGCTTTTCATAATTCAGCAGCAGTGACTCTGGTGTTAGTTTCTTTGTAATAGTGAATTACTTTTCCCTTGTTAGTAAATGGGGGATCTTGGTCCGGAGAACCTCCCAGGCGGAACAGCCATACTTTCAACTGTCGGATGCTGGTAAAACCTTTACCCGAATCAGAAGAGGAAGGTCATGATAACCAGGAAGCACACCAGAAATATGAAACTATGCAGTGCTTTGCTGTCTCTCAACCAAAGTCCATCAAAGAAGAAGGAGAAGGTAGGACAAGACCTCTAGAATATCTTATATAGCTATGTATTTACTCCTGTGCTACTTCTTTCACACATAATTATCTTAAAACTTGTCACAAAAGAAAAATTCAGAAGCCGTTTCTTTATTCTTTTCAATATTTACTTTTTTGTGATAAATCCAACTTTTGAGTCTCTGGAACCGTGATGTCCAATAACATGTATTGGGATTGTGAAAGTGGCCCATCTAATACCCAGCATGATAGCTAGTGTCCACATGTCACCATTGAGCATTTGAAATGTCAGTAGTGTGGTAAAGGGCTGCATTTCTTCTATTAAATAGCTAGTGACTACTGTACCAGTGCAGCTCTAATACTGGTTAAACATTGGGGGATCTGGTTCGTTTGATATATCTTCAAGTTTATCCATGTCTTCTGGGTCCACATGTGCTATGATAGCATGGTCATTAAGAAGACAGAGATGGGTCTGGGGAATAGAGGTGCTTCAGACTGTATAAGCTTACTAGACTGTTCTCCAAAAGGACATCCTGATTAGTATCCTCCATGCCCTCCAAGCAAGCCAGTCCTTGCAGCTGAAGTTCACTCTCTGTAGTACAAGACAGCATGGAAGAATATATTTTGTGTATGAAGCAGAAGGAAAAGAAGTGATGATCACTAGTGGAGAGAAAAGAAACATCATGGGCTGCCTGATAAGACTCCTCCCCTCTTAATTCAGCCACTCACCAGCTCTGTGACTAGGGAAGTTCCTTATACCTCTCTGAGCATCAATTTATTATCAGTCAAAGATCAATAGTGTATTACTATCCTATAAATTTTAGATGAATATTCCTGAACCATAGTTTCCATTGAATACTAGTTATTGAGTAGTTATTTAAAATATGTCGCTGATCATGGTAGTAAAGTAACAGCTGTAATCCCAGAACTCAGGAAGCTGAGGCCAGCCTGAACTACACAGACCTTGTCTCAAAAAAGACAAAAAATAAAATAGGTAAATATTTTTACAATTAAATTTTATTGGAAACATTATTAGAGCAGTTATAAATGATAAAGTATTTCAAAATTAAGCTTTTGTTTAGATTTGTAACCATAAATGGTCTGTTTTATGTGACAAAAGTAAGTACTGCCAATTCATTCAAGATTATATTCTAGTGATGTGAAAACAGTATTGCTGATTTTTTGCTTCATATTCAAGCACATTTTGTACATTTAAAATCAGATTTTGTGTGTAGCATAAGAACAGGATTTCTGAGCCACGGTATGTCCAGGTTTGAGGCCCAGCTTTGCCAAAGTTTTCTAGTATGCTAGGTGAGTTCCTCAAAGTTTGTGCTTTGGTTTTGTTCTATTTAGTGGAAATATGTGAGACTTTGGGTCTCAGATTTTTAAAGAGGATCCAATGTAAAGCATCTAGAAAGATGTTTGTCTCATAATAAATTCCCCATTCTTCAGCTCTTATTTTGCTAATGATGACAGTTACTTGGTGCTGTGTGTGTGTGTGTTGCTGAGTTTGAACCCAGCACCTTGTGCATGCCAAGCACTTGTTCTACCACTGAACCATGCTCCAGCCCTAGTAATGATTACATTCTAATTTTGAAACACCAGCTATTACTGGATATATTTCAAGAAACTCCAAGTTTAAAGGTGAACAATCACAAATCAGTTCAGTGGGGTGCCACACCTGCCTGGCAAGCGCAAAGTCCTGAGTCCAGTTCCCCCCGCAATAAATAAATAAATCAGTGATATAAGAAGATACGAAGATTGCATACCTGTAATCCCAACACTTGGGAGGCTGAGGCAGGAGGATCACTGTGAGTTCAAGACTAGCCTGGGCTCTACATAGTGAGACACTGTCTCAAAAAAAAAAAAGATGAAAAGATTACTTTTTTTTGAGACAGAGTCTCACTATGTAGTTGAGACTGACCTGGAACTCACTATGTAGCCCAGGCTGGTCTCGAACTCACAGCAATCCTCCTGCCTCAGCCTCCCCAGTGTTGGGATTACAGGCATGCACCACCACGCCTGGCAACTTCATTCTTTAACAGCCTTTTGTGTCTTTTTTAAATTGAATGTGCTGTGCAATGTAGCCTGCAAGTTAAAAAGTTAAATGAAGCATTTTCCCATTCTCCAGAAGTGAACCCCAATGCATAAAACAATTGAAGGGGGTAAAGAATAAATGCTTAACAGTGGGTGTGAGAGACTCACCATGATCAAAATTCTAAACTGGTGGGGCATGGTGGCTCACGCCTGTAATCCCAGCACTCGGGAGACTGAGGCAGGAGGATTGCTGTGAGTTCGAGACCAGCCTGGGCTACATAGTGAGTTCCAGGTCAGTCTCAACTACATAGTGAGACCCTGTCTCAAAAAATAAAACAAAACAAAACAAAAAATTCTAAACTGTATTTCAGCGCTTGCAGCACACACTGCATCTTATAGGTGCTGTGGGATTTGTTCTCTGCATCTGTGTCCAGACTTAGTTTTTATTCTGTTTTCAAGGTTATGTTGCTGGTGTAGAGCTACCAACATGGTTTGATAGCTTTAGTTTTTCTGTATCATGGTAAACCTAAAACTCAAGAAGCAAACCCCTAATAAAACATGTTTCAGTTCTCATCATTGTCGTTTAATAAGAAACTCAGCTGTTTAATAAGAAAGATTTTTTTCTTTTCCTCCCTGGAGAGATGGTGTCTGTTTGTCAGCCCTCTGCACACTGATGTACTTGCATCACATGTGTTGTGTGGCTTCCTTCGCCTGTGTGTCCTCTGCTCCCAGCTCACCCTGCACAGCATGTTCTCCATCCCTCACAGGCATCTTCCACATTGCTGAAGGAGAAGAAAGCAGTGAGAAGCCGAGGAACCTACTGTTTCTCTCATCTTCCTGTACCCATTTACACAACTCTGCAGTCATAAATGTTCGAATATGTCTGAATCACTAAAAAGCCCCAAAAGGTAAACATTAAATGTATATGATTGCAGATTTACAGTCCTGCTTGATTTGCGTGGCAAGAAGAGTTCCCATGAAGGAAAGACCAGTTCTTCCCTCTTCAGAAAGTTTTACTACTCGTCAGGATCTCCAAGGTAAACTTTATTTCAAGAAGTAATTTCAGAATACTACTTGTAAATGCAAGGAATATATTTAGAAGACTGGCAAAAGTGTTGCTGGTGGGGTAGAAGTCCTAAGGAGCTGGAGGACCAGAGAGGAGAGAGACTTCTTTTCATCAAACGTTCTTTCAGTTCATGACTTGTCCCTATCCTAAATATAGCCAACCTCCCTGTCTGTGGATTCCGTATCTATGTATCAGCCAACCACAAATCAAAAGTATTCAGGAAATGAGCCAGGGATTTAGCTCAGTGGTTCCACTGCCTGCCTTTCTAGCACAAGGGCCCGAGTTTGATCCCTGGTACCAAAAAAACAATAAAAAAATTGCATACAGACATTTTCTTGTCATTACTCCCTAAATAACACAGTATAATACCCATTTATAGTGCTGGGGATTTAGCTCAGTGGTTCTGCCACCCACCTTTCAAGCACAAGGACCTGAGTTCAATTCCTGGTACCAAAAAATAAATAAATAAATAACAACACCCATTTACATAGAATTTGTGTTGTATTAGGAAGTAATCTAGAGATGTAACGTATAGAGGGAAATGTGTGTAGATTATATGCAAATCTGTTTTACATAAAGGACTTAAGCTTTCATGGATTTGGGTATTCATGGGGGAGGTAGGTCCTAGAACCAAAGCCCCACAGAGGTATGATTATAAATAAAGGTATGTAGCGGGATAGGGTTAAATAAATGTGTGTAGCACACCTGTGATCCCAGCACTCAAGAGGCTGAGGTGGGAGGATCACTACTAGTTTTAGGCCAGCCTGGGCTACTGAGTAAGTTCAAGCCTCGCCTGAATTACATGGCAAAATTGTGTCTCAGAAAACCAAAAATAAATAAATGTATGTATGTGTTAATTTTAACTCTATAAAGAAAAAATGAGTGAGTGTAATGCTTGCTGCTATCTCACAGGGAAGATCACTTCTCTGGATACTAGTACCATGAGAGCAGCCATGAAACCAGGCTGGGAGGATCTGGTGAGAAGGTGCATTCAGAAGTTCCATGCACAGCATGAAGGGGAATCTGTGTCCTACGCTAAAAGGCATCATCATGAAGGTATGCTTCTCAGAGTGGTGCTTTTCTTCCAGGGGACTGCATGAAGATAATTATTTCCTGGAAGAACATTCTCTCAGACAGTGGTTTCTGAAGCTTACCTTGGAGACAGAGCTGGTGGCTCAGTGTTCTGTGCTTGCTTCATTTGCCCTAATAGCTGCCATTGGAATGAGAGGTTCAGGAGATCTCTAGGTCAGAAGAGCATGCTGAAGGAGACAGAGCAAGATGACACAAAAAGGGAGGAGGGAAGAATTTTTTTTTTTTTTTTTTGCTCCTCTAGCTTCCCAATATATGACAAAACATCAAGGGACAGACCAAAGAAATAGTATCTGGAGCTGGCAGTTTCGCTCAGCAGCTCCACACCCGCCTGGCAAGCGCAAGGTCCTGAGTTCAGTTCCCAGTACCCCGAAAGAAAAGAAAAAAAATAGTATCTGGTTCGTTAAAAAAACTCTGGTAATAGGAATTAATGAAATTTGTAAGGTGAAGTGAATCCATGGGGAAGCAAACGGGCATCCCAAGCCCTCCTCCAGGGTGATTAACTGCAAGTTTCAAATGTTTCCACAAGTCCCAACGAGGTCAATGACTTGTCTCAGGTCATAGACTTAATAGGACAGCTGTAACTAAACCCAGGCCTTCAAAGTCATCTTTTAGGAATAATGCCCTTTTTGAGTGTCTGGTCTTTGTGTGGCCTTGTCCCTTTGCATCATTTCATTGACCCTCTCAACAGCCACCTGACTTTCTTGTGGATGAGGAGTTGGCAGGTGCAGGGACTGGCTCTCTAGCATTCAGCCAGTACCAGCTCAGGATGTCCCCTGGCCTGCCCTGGTGCTCATTCTTAATGTGTTACTCCTAAAAGTTTCTCCACAGAAGCACTTTTTCTCAATTGCATTATGGTTTTCTTGTAAAGAAGTCAGAACCAAGAAGAACTACTTTTGCTTTATTAATAAGTGTTCAGTGAGTGAGGGAGACACTTTTCCTTTTTTCTGTGCCTGATGAATGCAGTTGGTTAATATGGGCTGTGCAGCATAAGGGACTCAAGGCAGAGAAGTGCACCTTCTTATAAAGTGGACAATTCTCTGCATCTTCTTAACGACTAATTATTGAAAATGGAGCCATAGTTTGTCATTCATTTAATGTGTGTTTGTGACCTTGGCATTTCACCAGTAGGGTTTGTATGTTTAAACTTTATGCTTTTTCTGGCCAGGTATTTAGCTCAGTGGTGCTGCCACCTGCCTTGTAAGCACAAGGACCCCAGTTCAATCCCTGGTACCCCCCCCCAAAAAAAAGTTATGCTTTTTAGATCACTTATAAAAAAGCACAAATCACAATAAATGAACTCTTTCTCCTGTATTTTTTCTCAACTGATCTTTGTTACTTAATTTGGAAAGAGAGGAAATACACATATTGTGTTTTGACAGGAATCAATTTTTAACCTACAGTTTCACTGTGTCTGGCTTGAAATGAATAGTAACAACAGAAACTAAGAAATCTCCGTAAGCCGACATGTTCCGTGTTCCTTTGACCTGAATTTCAGTACCCTACATTTAGTTCTGTGCCTTCCTCATTCTTTACAAGAAGGTTTAGGTACCAAACACTGTGCTAGGTTTAAACAGATGAGGCCACTGAAAGGAAATCCATATAGATTCTTACACTTGCCAGATAGGTAAGATGGAGATGACCATTCTCAGTGAATGGAAGCCATTGAAGGGCTTTGTAAATTATTCAGGTACATGCACATACATGCTTAGCAGGGATGCTAGAGGTAGACCAGTGGAAATGGAAAATCTTTAGGGATCACAGCCAAGGTCAGATAAAATTCTGAAATCATAAGCCACTGGGACTGTCTGTCCTAGTATAAAAATTATATTTAATTGCATTTTAGGTACATATTGGGCAAAGCAAGACACACGTCTGTACAGTAATTCATTTCCAAAGCTGCCATTTCACAGTAACTTTATGCTACAGTTGATGATAGAAAGTAATACCTAAGTATGGTATCTAATTGAAACTCCAGACGGGGGGGCGGGTCATTTGACAAATTGTTCAAAATGAAGTTTTACCAAGAAATCAGGCAGACTCTCCCTGTCTCCACCCCCACTCTAACCATGTGTGATTTGTGGCAGTTTTGTGGCATGGTGAATGTGCTTGGTTGCTTTGGGGCTGACTGTTCAGCCCACAGAATTTGTTCTGAGGATAATGTGGGACAAATATGGTAGTCTTATTTTATTTATTTATTTGTTTTTGTGCCAGAGATCGAACTCAGGACCTTGCACTTGTGAGGCAAGCGGTGGAACCACTGAGCTAAATTCCTGGCCCCTCATGGTAGTCTTTTTAAAATAGTTTGTGACAACTAAATGATGTGGCTATTTTTTCCCAGTTGAACTAATTATTTTATGAAGTACTGGATAGTTATAAAATACTATTGGTTTAGAAAATGAATCTCAATATTTTTTTTAGAGAAATTAGCCAAGTGTGATAGTCCATTCCCAGCACTCAGAAGGGGCTGAGGCAGGAGAATTGTCATTAGTTCAAGGCTATCCTGAACTGCACAGCAAAACTCATTCTCAAAACAAAACTAAAAGATATTTTAGAGAAATTATATTAATTTAATTGGTTTATCACTGTATATTCTTTTGTTAATTGTCTCAAAAATGGAGGTATCTGACCTTTATCTAAAAGTTAAAATAGGCCGGGTGTGGTGCTGCACGCCTGTAATCCCAGCACTTGGGAGGCTGAGGCAGGAGAATCGCTGTGAGTTGGAGACCAGCCTGGGCTACATAGTGAGTCCCAGGTCAGTCTCAACTACCTAGTGAGACCCTGTCTCAAAAATAAATAAATAAAATAAAATAAAAGTTAAAATAAATAAGCCAATAACACTTCAGTAAAATTTGTATTTCATTGTTTCAGTTTTGTTTAGTTTGTTTTTCTTTTTTTCCCTCTGAAAAGATTGTTTGTTGTGGTTTATTGGTTTTTGTTTGGTTTGTTTTTGTTTTTGTTTTTTGGTACTGGGGATCAAACTCTGATCCTTGTGCTTGTGAGGCAGGCCGTGGAAACATTCCCGGCCCTTGAAAAGATTATTTGCATTGTAAAAGAAATAAAAAACAAGTTGTTCATGTCTATATGTATATTGTTTTAACATTTTATATCTTTGGCAGTCTTATTTTCACCTGTTTTTTGTTTGTTTGTTTGTTTTTTGTTTTTTGAGACAAGGTCTTACTGTATAGTTGAGACTGACCTGGACCTCACTATGTAGCCCAGGCTGGTCTTGAACTCACAGCCATCCTTTTGCCTCAGCCTCCCAGATGCTGGGATTACAGGCATGTGCCACCATGCCCGGCCTAACCTGGTATTTTAAATGATTTACACACAGTTTTGCCCTGATACTGAAGATTTAAGAGCATAATTGGAGCCACACTGTTACTTTTTTCATAACAAAAGTAATTACTATATTTATGGATGTTTTGAGTGAAAAGTAAATATGCTTTTATAATGCTTTACTTTTGTGAAGTCTTACTCTTTTTTAACATGCTGGTAGGAAAATATCAAGAAATTTAAGTTTATTACCATTATTATGCCCCTCCCCATTAGCTTTCTTTTTCCCTAAATATACATTCTGTTTCCTTGTTTGCCTGCAGTACTAAGACAAGGATTGGCATTCAGTCAGATCTATCGTTTCTCCTTATCCGATGGCACTCTTGTTGCTGCACAAACGAAGAGCAAATTGATCCGTTCTCAGACTACTAATGAGCCTCAGCTTGTTATATCTTTACACATGCTTCACAGGTAATGCTAACTAAGAACTCACTTTCCCAGTTTGAGAGAAAATGTTAACAAAAGCAACAACCCTCCTACAGCTTTGAAGGTTCATTAGACATTTCTGTTAATCAATCCTGGTAGTATATAGTATAAAATTAAATTGTTGTGAACTCTTTGTTAAAAACCAGCTCATAACATTGACAAGTTAGAGTTATCCTTTGAATTTTAGCCTTAACACCTAAGGAGTTTTAAAATCTGGCTGGAAGAACATAACACTCATGCTAACTTCTCTCTAACGTGATCGCCCTTTACACTGAAATTGATCTGCTCCCAGTAGCAACACAGGCAAGACGAGGATACTGAAACTAGTAGCATGATTTCTGATCACATGTATACATGTGGAATGTTTTAGATTGAGATTTTTGTTTCTGGGTTTAAGTTAGACTTAAAGTTAGACTTAAGTTAGACTTAAAATTGAAGGGTGATAAACTTTTATAATAAAAGAAAAGTGAATGTTGACTTAAAAATAAATGTCATGAACTGTTTTAAGAGCATACATTAAAGAAGATGATTAAATCTCAAGCTACATCAATATTTATGTATGTGTACTATGAAACTTTATGAGTACAATCAGAAGGTAAATAGAGTTACTCTGGTTGAAGAGTCCCATTTCTTAATTATTTATTGTGTAGGAATTTTTAAAAAATCAGGCAGCCCTGTTTGCCAGCTGTTAATAAATCTGACTTCAAAGTGAAACAGTTTGAAAGTGATTATAGATGTGGCAGATTGCACCCACCTAGCTGAAGGCTGATAGTTTGACAGTTTGTGAAACCTGTTTTGTTTGGATTTGTGAGCATGGTTAGTAACTCACAAGTGACTGCCAGAGCTGAAAATGAAAGTTCCTTGGGCTTGGGAAATCATCATTTTCTGAAAACCTGCTTTTAGTCCTTAGTTATCCAGGAGCGAAGGAATAAAATCGCAAACAAAGGTCATTCCAAAACTCCTTCCCATGTCAGCTCTGAGGCTCTGACTTGTGGGAGTTGGGGGGTGAGTGGAAACTTCTAAACAGTTTCAACAGCTCTCTTAGTTCTAGAACCTGTAGTCCCTGTAATAGTTAGGGCATATTTTCCTCTATATATTTGCAGTCCATCTTGAGCCCAGGTAATGTATAACAGAGTTCTTGAGGCCTACAGATGTGCCAGTTGTTAGGAATTGTAATTCCTGGCAAATATTTGAAGACAGCTATACTTGTTTGGATCATTTCTTTGACAGTACAAGCTCTGTTACTTATGAGGAATATATATATATATGTAATTGGAGCCCCTCTTATACCCTGTCTACTAACTTCAACTTCAGTATGCTAGTAGTCAAATTTGAACATACTCCCTCTGTAAAACCACAGACATCTTAATGATTTGCCTCAGAAACATCCCTCCGGTCCAAAACTGCATGTTCAGTCTTGTCTGTAATCGCAGATGGTTTCATCCCAGTATTATCTATCCTTTAAACAGAGTCTGTGCTTGTAGAGAAAAGAGGCCTTGCCGTCTCATTTTTCAAAATTAATAACAACTTGTGAAGTATTTTCCTTTTATCTTACATTTCTTTCTTTCCCCATTATACAGAGAGCAGAATGTATGTGTAATGAATCCGGATCTGACTGGACAAGCAGTGGGGAAGCCATTGAATCCAATTAGCTCTAGCAGCCCTGCCCATCAGGCCATGTGCAGTGGGAACCCAGGTCAGGACATGACCCTCAGTAGCAATATAAATTTTCCCATAAATGGCCCAAAGGAACAAATGGGCATGCCCATGGGCAGGTTCGGTGGTTCTGGGGGAATGAACCATGTGTCAGGCATGCAGGCAACCACTCCTCAGGGTAGTAACTATGCACTCAAAATGAACAGTCCCTCACGGAGCAGCCCTGGCATGAATCCAGGGCAGCCCAATTCCATGCTTTCACCAAGGCATCGCATGAGCCCCGGAGTGGCTGGCAGTCCTCGCATCCCACCCAGTCAGTTTTCCCCTGCAGGAAGCTTGCATTCCCCCGTGGGAGTCTGCAGCAGCACAGGAAATAGCCATAGTTATACCAACAGTTCCCTCAATGCACTTCAGGCCCTCAGTGAGGGGCACGGGGTCTCTTTAGGGTCATCGTTGGCTTCACCAGACCTAAAAATGGGCAATTTGCAAAACTCCCCAGTTAATATGAATCCTCCCCCACTCAGCAAGATGGGAAGCTTGGACTCCAAAGACTGTTTTGGACTTTATGGGGAGCCATCAGAAGGTACAACTGGGCAGGCAGAGAGCAGCTGCCATCCTGGAGAGCAGAAAGAGACAAATGATTCCAGTATGTCCCAGGCGGCAAGCGGGGAGAGAGCCGAGGGACAGAACAGGTTGCACGACAGCAAAGGGCAGACCAAACTCCTGCAGCTGCTGACCACCAAGTCTGACCAGATGGAGCCTTCGCCCTTACCCAGCTCTTTGTCGGATACAAACAAGGACTCCACAAGTAGCTTGCCCAGCTCTGGATCCACCCATGGGACCTCACTCAAGGAGAAGCATAAAATTTTGCACAGACTCTTGCAGGACAGCAGTTCCCCTGTGGACTTAGCCAAGCTAACAGCGGAAGCCACAGGCAAAGAACTAAGTCAGGAGTCCAGCAGCACAGCTCCTGGGTCAGAAGTGACTATTAAACAAGATCCAGTGAGCCCCAAGAAGAAAGAGAATGCACTACTTCGCTACTTGCTAGATAAAGATGATACTAAAGATATTGGTTTACCAGAAATAACCCCCAAACTTGAGCGACTGGACAGTAAGACAGATCCTGCCAGTAACACAAAGCTGATAGCTATGAAAACTGAGAAGGAGGAGATGAGCTTTGAGCCCAGTGACCAGGTGAGTTTCCTAATATCCTCTCCTTAGAATGCTAATTTGTGTCCACCAAAGATATTCTCCACAGGGCTTTTGGAGGCCTCAAGTGGTTTGATTAAAAATCTCTTTTCTTTTACGATCTTTACCTTGATTCATTTCAAAGCTGTGTGTTTCAAACACTTCCCCAGCAAAGACTGACACCGTTACCTGGCCATCAGGCTGTGCCATTCGGCCTGCCGTCCTAGTACACAGCACTTGTAGACACTGAGCAAATGACTGTGGCTGTGCTCCAGGAAAACTTCACTTAGGGATGCTGAAGTGCACAGTTTTCACAGAGCACAAAATGTTTTTCTTCTTCTCTGTAACCACTGCAAAAAGGTAAATCCAGCCTTAGCTCATTGAGTATACAAAAATGGAGACAAGATTCAGCCCACAGGCCAGCCATAGTTTTTGCTGACCCCTAAATTGGGATAATCATGTTCTCAAAACTGGATTTTGTCAGAACAGACTTAATTGGAGTGGAATATTCCTTATTTACTTTTCTCTCTTTTTAAGGTCAGAGTTTAGCTGGTTTTCAAACCCAGTGAAGATCATTCTACCTTGCGAACCCTTCCAATTAATGTAGAAAAATGTCTTAGAGCACTGGTATAATAGTACTTCTGAGGAACTGGGTGTAGTGGCGCATGCCTTTAATCCCAGCTACTCATGAGGATCTCATGTCCAAGGCCAGACTGTACCACTTAGTGTGGCCCTGGTTTTTTTGAGACAGTCTCACTATGTAGTTGAGACTGATCTGGAACTCACTGTGTAGCCCAGGCTGGTCTTGAACTCACAGGATCCTCCTGCCTCAGCCTCCCGAGTGCTGGGATTACAGGCATGTGCCACCACACCTGGCTAGTGTGGCCCTGTTTTGAAATTAAAAAATCAAAAGTCCTGAGGCATAGTTCAGTGTGAGGCCTTGAATTTAGTCCCCAGTATCACCCCCCCCAAAAAAGAGGAAATGAATAGGAGAGGTAAAGGTAGATTCATTGTTAGTATATCTAAGCCATCATCTGTAAATTTAAAACTAAAATAACATTACCTTATCAGTTGTGCTTGTCTGAAAATTGAATGCCCTGAAAAAGATAAGAACATCCAAGGTGATGTTCAAAATCATTTTTAACTGAAAACCAAAAGTCATGTATTTGTGGTAAACACCATGTTTTAAAAGTAAGTATACATTGTGAAATAGCTGAATTAAGCTCATTAACATGCATTGCCTCACAATCTGATCATTTTTTATAGAGAAAATGCTTAAAATCTACTCTCGGCAGTTTTCAAATGTAAATTATTGACTGTAGCACATGCTGTACAACACATTTCTGAAATTTATTTGTCCTAACTGAAATTCTGTATTCTTTCCAACATCTCCTCAACCTCCTTTTATCACAATTACTCCTGGTAGTATTCTAAGGTGGTAACATCATCATATTTTTCTTTCTTTAGAAAGGGGGTAGATATAGGATAGCCATAAAGGTTTGGCATAAAGGATTTCCTAGGGAAATTATGGTGGTGGTTAAGGATCCCAGATTTCACCAGGGGCCCTCACACGCCCCCTGCAGTCTGTAGATGGGCCCCGCCCAGCAGACCTGTTCTAGAGTCACAATTGGTTAAAAAATAAAAGAGCTGGGGCCAGGGATTTAGAGCTCAGTGGTTCCGCCACCTGCATAAGGACCTGAGTTCGCTCCCCGGTACCAAAAATAAATCAGTAAAATAAAAAAGCTGCATAGCCCTCTACTTAAAGAGCTCTGGAGTTTGCCCTTGAAGCTTATTTTGTAAGCACGCATTTTATGTGTCTCCATCATGTGGAGCACGTAGGACCAAGAGAGCTGTGCCCGCTTACTTCACAGGGAGCTCTGCTGAGGTAGCAGTGGCCACCAGCTTACAGCCCTGTTGGGACTGCAGGGTCATAAGGAGCGCTGAGGTCACGCACCTTTCCAGCCAGGGACCTGCTGGTTCTCAGAGCTTAGCTTCCACTCTTTCGCTGCACCGCCAGCCTCCCTACTGGCGTTGAACCCAGAGTCTGCACACTGAGCTACAATTCCAACCCTTTTTATTTTTGTTCTGCAACGGGAGTCTCCCTTAATTGCCCAGGCTGGGCTCAAAATTTCAGTCCTCCTGCCTCAGCCTCCTAGTATGCTGAGGTGATAGGCAGGTGCTGCCACACCTGGGTTCTTCCATTCACTTTGATGTCTTGACAACTGCCACCGTTTCTGAGAAGAATAGAATTTTTCACAGCCCAATTATGAAAGCATCATTGGTGATTAATCCTTAAACTTGGATGTTAATGCCAGGTCTCTGCAGCAGCTCTTCTGTATTGCATTGAAACCATGAGTTCAGGAAACAGGATCTCAGCAGAAATTGAATAGCAGTGTCTTATATAAAGTGAAGTGTGAACCATACGGACAGCCATAAATGTTTTAATCTTCTTAGGTTTACTGGATGGGACTATTCAGAGAGTTGCAGGCGTGGATGATGTCACTCAGGTAGTGTCCTGACATACACTGGAGGGTAAGACAGTGAGTCAGCGTGATCCACCTTAGCTTGGTGTCTAAAATTACCAGCCCCTCACTCCATAAACTGAATTTCTTATCTCAGGTCTACGACCCTACAGACTGAGAGAGTCACAGAAGAGTCCACTGTTTGGCATTTCTTTTTAGTTTTGGTTTTCATTTTTTGAGACAAAGCCTAAAGCTGGCCTTGAACTCATGGAGATCCCCCTGCCTTGGCCTCTTGAATGCTAGGATTACAGGCGTGTGCTACCACACCCAGCTTGGCATTTCTGTATTTATATATAATTGCACTAACAGCAGACAAGAAATAAGTTTAAAGAGAATTCTTGAGTCACTTGCAGTTTCTTTCTTTTTTTTTTTTTTTTTTTTTTTTTTTTTTTTTTTTTTTTCTTTTTTTTTCCTGGTACCAGGAATCAAACTCAGATCCTTGTGTTTGCCAGGCAGGCATGGTGCCACTGAGCTAAATCTTTAGCACAGTTTCTAATTATTATTTAGGAAAAAGTTTTCTAATTAAAATTTTCTCACCTCTGAAACATAAAGCCTAGAGTGTAATCAGCCCAAATCTGTTATTTAGGTAGATCAAAAATCAAGGTAGCCAGATATGGTGACGTAGACCTGTAACTTCAGAGGCAGAGGCAGGAGGATTGCCCCGAGTTCAAGACCAGCCTGGGTTACATAGTGAGTTCAAGGCTATGCTGAACTACATAGAGACTCTGTGTCTCAAAAAACAAAGGTAAACAGGTATTTCTCATACAGATACATGTGCATATATAGTGAATATATTTTTCTTAATGAAATACAGACCCTGGTCTTCCCTTCTCTGTCTTAAAAACCTCACCAAAAATACTGCTTCACAGAACAATTTTGACATCAGAAACATGGCAGCTTGAAAAGTTACCACAGGAAGTGTGCTTTACCTAAATTTAGATCAAAGTTAGATTGAGAAAAAAATTATTCTTTCATTCCTATTCTCCTTCATGATTCCAAATACCAATGAATTGAATCTTTTGTCACCTGCTACACACATTTATTGAAGACTTTTAATTTCAAGGAAATACAGTAAGTTATTTAGTGAAATAAAGCAGCCTGAACTGCATTTAACTGTCTTGTTACTTTGATTCAGAAAAGAGACATTAACTGAGTGTGTGTTTAATCTATTACTAACTTATTAAAGACAGGAAATGTTTCAATGGTGCTACAGTACCTAAAATAGTGGTCTTTTTACTGGTTAGAGTATTTAAACAAGGTATGTTTTTTACGACATTTCCTAACCAACAGGAAACAGTAACAGTGACAGAAAAATTTCCAGTATGTTTACTGACTCAGGTCATATGCTTCTTTACACAATGGAGAACGGCTGATACCTAACCAAGTGTACTCTTGACATTCTTCCTAGTGGTGCTGAGACACTTACGCAGGTTTGGAAATAATCTAAAAAGCATTCCTTCTTAGTATTTGACTCCATTAGAAAGGTGAATCCTATTTTAAACTGGTAGAAGCTGGGTCTGGTGGCACATTCCTGTAATCCCAGGATACGGAAGACTGAGGCAGGAGGGTTGTGGAATCGTCAAGGCCAGCCTGGGCCGCATAGCGAGACTGTCAAGAGGGGAAAAAAAGAACTGGTAATGTCCTGAAATTTTTCCTCCAAATGTGGTGGAATTGTATTACTACTATTTCCTAATAATTTTCTGTTGGGCAAATGTGGTGAAATTACATTTTCTGTCACAGTATTTTTAAAGCTACTTTATAACATTAAATTTTATTAAAATGTATGCTCTTTTTTCCTTTGAAGAACAAATTGACTTGAAACAAAAAAATTATAAAACCAGAAAAAATGAAAAATTAAAGAATCGAGTCTATTTTTCATTTTGTAGAACTTTTATAAAAATCTTTCTGACTCATTTTCTGCCTGAAATAGTTTAAACTAACTACTCAAATTGATGTGGCTAATTTGAGCATTCAAATAGATGCCTAAGCAAAACTTTGAAGCATCTTGGCAAAGCATTTTAAAGGAAGGCATTAATCTTTTTGTCTTGCAAAGAAACTGTGCCTAACAAAGGGGAGAAGGATAAAACTTCTGATGTGAATTAAAAGTTACAAAAAGTAGAAGGAGAAATTTTTTAATTAGAAACTTCATGTAATCAAATTCATCCCTTCCAGGGCCAGGGATTTAGCTCTGTGGCACTGTGCCTTCCTTGCAAGTACAAGGTCCTGAGTTCAATCCCTGGCACCAAAAATAAATTCATCCCTGCCAAATAATGCTAAATGTGTACTCCACAAATTGACAAGGAATAAACACAGGCCAAGCTATATTATCTGTAGTAGGGGAAGCTTCATAATACATTTTCAGATGGTAAGCTCAAATAAATTCAAACAGTATCCATAGTTAGAATCTCTGTAGAATCAATTTCATTTTGCTACATAACCCCAAGAGAATCCTGCCTGTCTTTTAAAAATGTACTTTCAACTGGGCGTGGTGGTGCATACCTGTAATCCCAGCACCCGGGAGGCTGAGACAGGAAGATTATTGAGAGTTTGAGACCATTTTGGGCTACATAGTGAGTTCCAGGTCAATCTCAACTACATAGTGAGACCCTGTCTCCAAAAAAAAAAAGTGTATCTCATTACTTATCAGAATCAGGCTAGTCCACCACTGGGTTAAGGAAGTTAGATGTGTTAGATTTCCCTCATTTTAAGATGGCTACTACAGAATTGCCTTCTTCCCATCATGCCTCTTTTCCCACCAAGAGAGAAGCTCCTCCTAGTGATGTCACAAGCTCCCGGATCCCTAGCTGCTACAGCACTCAGTGCTTCAGTCCTGTAAGAAGCGCTCCCTGTCTGGGCCATATTATTCTCTCTCTCCTTTGTTCGGAGACAGCCCAGCAGATTGACCCTACAGTAAGGGCTTGTAGTGGTTCTGGTCTGGTCTTGGTTTTGGCTTTTTTACCTGACGGTATGAGTGTATGTGATCCTTGAAATCAAAGTCAGGGCCTGTGAGGAAGTTAGGTCTGAGTTGTGTGAGTTCGGCCTGCCATTCACCTCAGAGAGTGTATGCCCTAGTAGTGTCTGGGAGGTAAGAGACCAGAGTTTATTGGCTATGGTTCCCTTGCAGCGCTAACAGTCTGAACATGTGACTCCAGGCTTGTACAACACTGTAGTTGCTTCCTGAGCTACTTCAGGGTAAAAGAAACTGATGTCCTGCCACTCTGGAGGAAAAGTTATATCCCCCTTTGCAGTACCATGCCTTTATAAGGAGTTCTAAGGATAGCTTTGTCTATCTGTACTTTAGGGTGGAACTTTGAAACCCACCCTTTTCTAAGACATAGGTCTCCCATAGAGATATTTCATCTTTTGTTAGAAATGGATGGCAAGACAATGATCTTAAATTAGAAATTTCCTGGAAAAATGGATCTCCACAATTTATTAAGCTATTGTCTCTGAGAAAAATCAAATTAAATGTCACTTAAAGCTAGGTGTGGGGTGCATGCCTGAAATCCCAATGCTTTGGGTGATTAAGGCCAGGAAGACCACAAGGTCCAGCTCGACCTGGGAAATTTAGCACGCTAGTGAGATACTATCTCAAATAGGTCTGGAGATGTAGGTCAGTGTGAAGACCTTGGGTTCAATCCCTGGTACTGTTTTTTAAAAAAAGGTCACTTCATCTATCCTTCCTAACTTGAGAAGTATATCCAGTAAAAAGATGCCCTAACAGATTTTAAATCTGCCATAAATTGCAAAAAACTTAGCAAATGCAGCTTGCACATAGAGGATAGTGTTAAAATATAAGCTGTTATGCTGTAAGTGCAGCTCATTACCACTTGTGTGGTGTGTACTTCTTTTGATTTGCCAGTGTAGAGGGAGAGGGCTGGTCCTGGTCAAGGACTCACTTCATCCGTTGACTCTGAGCAGACTGCCTGTTTCCCTCCTACGCATCAAGAAAAATTATTCTTAGCACGTTCTTTACTAGAAAGTAATCTTAGCATCTAGTTTCTTGTGTGACTGTGATGTCTGAATTTAAATTCTGGCTCATAGATAGGTTCCACTTAAAAGAATATCTATGAAATCAGCTTCCTAGAAAAAGAAAAGTACAAGGTATAAAATAGTGATATTTATTACTGTACTGTTGGTATTTGAAATTTAATTTAAAATGGAGACTATAAGAAAGGTTTGTGTGGCTTCTGTGAAATCAAATTAGTGTTATGCTGGGGAGCAGCCAGTTTTCCTACTGCTTTCCTACACTGTCACCTAAGCTGTGACTGAAAAAGCCACTGTCATTTGAAACTGAAAGTGCAAGCAGGAAAAAAATTCTGCTCAAATTGAAAAAGCATTACTTAACTAGTTACTTCAAGCTTATTTTGTGTCTGACACCATCCCCACACCCTTGGGGTAAAAAGTTCTAAAAGGAAATGGCCATTTGCTAAATTCTGAGTAAGTGCAAATTCAGATCAGTTTCTACCAGTTTTCTTTGTTGTTGTCCATTTGTAGGGAGCCTTAACAATAAAACCTAGACCTGAACTGTCAGTCGGTAATTGGAAATATACATCCAGTTAGTTGGATGATTAGCAAAAATAAAGGGGCATTTGTGAATTACCACTTGATCCCAACATGGAAAGTCCACTGTCTTTCTAATTTAGCCATCTCTTTATCTTGATACAGTAGAGAATTCAGGATCCAGAGATTAAGTTACTCGCTCTTTGTCATTTTAATTTTTAGAAAATGACTAGTAACTCTTAGGCCTGAGGTGCACGTGTGTCTGCATTTTTGTTTGGCTGTGGTGTCTTACACCAGTCGTATTTGTAATAGCAAAGAGGCCTTGGAGCACACTCTTGGAGTAGGCCTGGATAAACTCTTTTTGTTTGTTAACTACAGCCTGGCAGTGAGCTGGACAACTTGGAGGAGATTTTGGATGATTTGCAGAATAGTCAATTACCACAGCTTTTCCCAGACACGAGGCCAGGCGCCCCTGCTGGATCAGTTGACAAGCAAGCCATCATCAATGACCTCATGCAACTCACAGCTGAAAACAGCCCGGTGACACCTGTTGGAACACAGAAAACAGCATTGCGAATTTCACAAAGCAGTGAGTATGAGATATTGCTGCTTTCACCAAGCGATTCCCATATAAACACTATCCGGAACAGCTTATTAAAGTGTGATGCAAACAGCTTAGTCACTTAGTGGTTTTTGTGATCAAATAGCACCATCTACTGTCCTGGTCCTTCAGAAACTATTCAAAATGACCAAAAAAAATAAATAAATAAACCAAACAAACAAAACACTTCAGGGGCTGGGGATTTAGCTCAGTGGTTGGGTGGCCTGCCTCGCAAGCACAAGGACCCGAGTTCTATCGCCAGCACCAAAAACAAACAAACAAACAAACAGAAACTATTCAAAATGGATTCTGGTGAATGTGGCTCCCTGGCTTCTCTTGTAAAAGAGGTAGGTACATGCTGGGAGATCAACCTAGGCTGATAAAGTTCCTCTGCTGATTGTCAAATATCCCTTCATTTCAGTTACTACCTTCAGATATGCATTTCAAGTTAGTTATCCAATAGTTCTGAATAGAAGAAAATACTTTTTTCTGCCAATAATCCCAGGACTCAGGAGGCAGAGGCAGGAGGATTGCCATGAGTTTGAGGTCAGCCTGAGCTATATAATGAGTTCAGGGCCAGCCTGAACTATAAAGTGATACCCTACTGTCTTTAAAAAAAATTTTTTCTTTTTTCCTCTGTAGTAGGACCATAATTTATACAAAAATAAATAACCGGGTTGGGATTTAGCTCAGTGGTTCCACTGCCTGCCTCGCAAGCGCAAGGTCCCAAATTCCATCCCCAGCACCCCAAAAAAAGAAAGGATAAATAACCTCATCAGTGTTGGTGAACAAAATGACATTTTTTTCTTCTTCAGATACACTTTGACTCAATATCAGCAGCATTTGTTCTCAAATCAAAAATGACAGCCATCAGCCACATCATAGAATATCTTTATAGCCAGGCGTGGTGGTGCACGCCTGTAATCCCAGCACTCGGGAGGCTGAGGCCGGAGGATCACTGTGAGTTAGAGACCAGCCTGGGCTACATAGTGAGTTCCAGGTCAGTCTCAACTACATAGTGAGACCCTGTCTCAAAAAACCAAAAAAAATAAAGAATATCTTTAATTACTAGGTATTTTATCAAATGATTCCTGCCCATTTTGAAAAGGATAAAGCAAAATAAAGATGAGTTTTTGCCTGATATCTCTCAAATCTGAATGTTTTGAGGGAGTATAGCCTCGATTACAGACTGGGGGAGATGACAAAGTGAAAGAATTGAAAGGGGGGGTAAAATCCAGTAAATATTTATGGTTATTAATTCAGGAAATAAAGAAGGTCTGTGTAGGGACTCATAGCTCCTTCTCAGTCTGTAGTTTCTAATTCTTTTTTTAGCAGGCGGGTACTGGGTCTTGAACTCTGGATCTTGTGCTTGCAAAGCAGGTGGCAGAACCACTGAGCTAAATCGCCGGCCCACCTGTAGCTCCTAATTTTACAGATTTCCAATAATGAACAGATAATTAAGTGTGGATGTAATTTCCATTCTGAACCTTAATTTTTCTAAATACTTTATTTCTATTATGGATTATTAAATTATTTAACTACTATTTCAGACCATGTTTTGATTCATAGGAAAGTACTTGATATTATCTAATAAATTAGTAACAAATTATCATTTATATCTTGGTATTTTAAAGTTTAATAACATTGTTATCAAATTAACGATTTTGGTGCATGATACACAATAAACTCTTGCAAACTAACCATTAAAACGATATAAATGTGTCCAGAATTCAAAGAAGCTGTACTTCAAAGAATAAACTGTAGCCGGGCGTGGTGGCACATGCCTGTAATCGCAGCACTCAGGAGGCTGAGGCAGGAGGATCACTGTGAGTTCAAGACCAGCCTGGGCTACATAGTGAGTTCCAGGTCAGTCTCAACTACATAGTGAGACCCTATCTCAAAAAACTAAAAAAATAAAAATAAGGTTAAGCTGTAATTTAATACTGCTCCAGGTAACACAGTGTACATGCTAAAAGACTAACTTCCAATGAAGAGCATCCACTTTTAATTCTAATCGAAGAAACTCCAGTTGGGAAATGGTACTTTAATTTCCAAATCACATGTGTGGGTTTGGTGCTGTTTACAGGGTATGTTAATAACTTCATAGCTATGAAACAGTAATACTCCTGTGTTTAATAGCCTAGCACGGAAAACTGTATTAATGGTACACTTAACAAACACAGGTGAACATTAAGAATTACTGTGAGAAGCCAGGTGTAAATGGAGCATGGCTATAATCTTAGCACTTGGGAAGTTGTGGCAAAACGATGACAAGTTCGAAACAGCCTGAGCTACACACACCCTGTCTGCAAAGGCGAGGGGTTGGGTAACATGGTAAATAATACACCTGTGGATTTTCTTTTTCTTTCTTTTTTTTCAAGATCATCAAAAATTAAGACTTGCTGGGGGCCAAGGATTTAGCTCAGTGGTTCTGCTGCCTGCTTTGCAAGCACAAAGTCCTGAGTTAGAGTCCCAGCACCAAAAAAAAAAAAAAAAAATTATGACTTGCTGTTTAGATCACATGTTGCATTTTAGTGCCTGCGTGTCTTTTATCTGTGAATTTTGTCTTGAAAATAGGTGGTTGATACCTAACTTGCATATCTTTGTTATTTCACAAAATGACATTTTCCCTAAACACTACTAGTGTTAGTATTCTTTTTCATTATCCTGTATTAACCTTTAATTTTTATTTGTTTTCTCCTTAGCTTTTAATAACCCACGACCAGGGCAACTGGGCAGGTTATTGCCAAACCAGAATTTACCACTTGACATCACATTGCAGAGCCCAACTGGTGCTGGACCTTTCCCACCAATCAGAAACAATAGTCCCTACTCAGTGATACCTCAGCCAGGAATGATGGGTAACCAAGGGATGATAGGAAACCAAGGCAACTTAGGGAACAGTAGCACAGGTAAGGGCTGAAATGCACTGTTCTTTACTGGTGGGTTATTTCACTTCATTATGTATTCATCCACATCAAACTAGTAAAGTTTTTCCATTGAGCATGTTAGAAACTAACCTGGGAAAATAAGGAAATACTACAGGTTTTCAGTGTGAGAGTGCCATATCAGAAACTGTTTCAGTAAGCTAGCCATTTTATTCTGCGATTGTTACTTCGGTTAGGTTTCTGATCATTAATCCTTTAACATAGACTTCACTTCTACCCTAGTTACTATTCCAAACACAAAGGGTATGTATCAATAAATTGGTCATTGCTAGTTTCCAGTGGTGATCTACAGATGACCGCAGAACTTACTGACAATTTGAACTTAAAGAATTTCAAATTGAAAGTTTAAAATTCAGCCAGACTTTTATACTTCCAGGTACTCCCATACAAAAATGCATGAGTTAAAGTAAAGAACTTTAGTTGGGCTTCATGATGCGTGCCTATAGTCAGGCTGCTCGGGAGGCTAAGGCAAAGGGTCTCTTGAGCCCATGAGTTGTAGACACCTTGGGCCATGTAATGAGACCCTATGTCAAAAAAAAAAAAGTGAAGAATTGTAAATAGTAGTATGCCCGGCCTATACTAACTTTCAGATCCGATCCAGGGCTCCATTTCTGAAGATTAAGGAAGTTGCCTGTGATCTGGTGTGGACCTCGACCGTCTATAATTTCAGTTGTCTCCCAAATTGCCTATGCACATTTTCACAGCAGGTACCATATTACCAAGCTGTCATCCAAGTGCAGGCCTAAAATCATTACTGCAGCAGTGACTGCCATTGCCACCACATCCTGGATCTTAGTACATCTCTTTATTAGTTGGATGTGGTGGTGCTAAGATATAATCCCAGCACTCGGAGAAGCTAGGCAAGTTCAAGTCTAGCCTTAGCAACTTAGTGAGACCCTATCTCAAAATTTTAAAAAGGCTCGAGGTGTATCCTCTGTACCCCAGGGTTCAATCCCATGGATCACATATACACACTGTCTTCTAGCTTCATGCTTATTTCTTCTTAATAAGATAGAAGGATGCTGACTTTTCTAATAAAGGCTTGCTCACATTTAACAGCTTTCTTACTTTGCCTCAGGGAAGTACTAGAAGGTACTAGAGACAAAAGGCACAGAAATAGATATTATAAAAAAGAAGTTACACTTGTGGATCTTTTAATTCTTGATGTTTTATTTTTAGTTTATGTCTAACCTATCATCATCTAGGTAGTTAACTAGATATAGATATAAAAGTTGCATGTGAAGGAAAAAGGTGGATATTTACCTTCTATTCCTGGTAACAAATTTATCAGAAGCATGAACTATGTTGTGTTAGTTTTTCATCCAGCATATATTTATTTCTTGCCTGCCATATGTGCCAGGCACATATGCTTCGTTAATTTGCATATTCATAGAAATGGTATCCTATTGATTTTGAGATAAAATACTGATTTGTGTAAAATTCTGTAAGAGGAAAGGATCTCATGATTTATTAAGGGGACTCTTTCTCAGCAGAATACAAGTTCTGGGTAGAAGGGATCTTATATAGGAAGTTGGGAGTTGCTTGAATTAAAATCTGGATAGTCTAGAAATCAGGGCTCTGCAGGTGATATGGTGCCCTCACTCTGCTTCCAAGAGCAAAACAAACGAGACCGAGTTACTGTATTAGTGTTGTCAAATTAGTTTTTCCCTTCTACTTTCTAATCTTGTTATATTAAATCATAGACTTAAGGAAAATAAAATGCCTTTTCTCTCATAGTATCTTTGGATAGTTCCAGTCTAGTCTTAAAATGGTTTTTCAATATTAGTGTTGTTCTAACTGTTTAAATCTAATTACCCTTTACTCTGTCATCCTCAGCACCTTTCTCGTTTCACAAGAAACACCCAAGATACATGCGACTTATTAAATATACTTGATTTTTGTCACAATTACAGTAAAGAAAAGCAGTGTATTTGAAAGTAAAATCTTTGTGCACATCATTAAACATTTCAAAATAAAGAGATCATTTCATTTGGGTGTTTTCCCCTTCAGAATGTCAAGTCTTAGCCAGTGTTCTGCCACTGCCACCATCCCAGGTACCACGCCAGATCTTCACAGGCCAGGACAGAGAAGACAATGGAGCCTGCTTGGCAGTGCTGTGCTCTTACTGTTATGTGTTCTCAGATAACTGTTAAAAATCTCCAGTGCAACCAGACATGATATACACTATGATCCCAGCACTCAGGAGGCTGAGGCAGGAGGAGCTCTTCAAGTTCAAGGCCAGCCTAAACTGCATAGTGAGACCCTGTCTTAAAATTTTTTTTTTTTTCTTAAGTACAGAAGGCTTTTTACAAATCTATCCTAACCCATTCCAGGAAGGCAATGGTCCTTTGTAATGGCTGTGAAGAGCAATGGTAAATATCTGAAAGATCCTTTAGTTTCCCTAACACTTAGAGAGGCTGTCCTTGATCAGTTTTGAAGCTTACCAAATTATAATACTCTGAAAGGGATTTGAAGATTTGGGAGTCTTGTGTAAGCTTGATGTTATATTCTCTATTTTTGCTTTATAATTGAAATTGTATTGATTATCAGTTTTTACCTTGTTCCTTTTAGTCTCACCTCCATTTGGAAAGTAAACCATTGACGTGTGTGTCAGCTAATGTGATTCACTTCCTGAGGAAGGAAGTTGAGGTTATCCACTGGCCCACAGCACCTGTTTCTGAGTACAAGTGGGAACAATTTTAACAGCTTTTCCAAACTATAAAGAGTGGCAAGTTAATGCTATGAAAACTTTATAATAATTGTCAGTTCTTGTGTCTTAGCCCAGGGCCTGTCTGCCCCTGTGGGTGTGAGCTCTTGGGCTATGTGTGGATTACAGAGTGATTGTCTCCAACAAGTAGAATGGGCTGTGTTCAGATGTGCTAAATATGTCGTCAGTGGCTGCATCTCTCAGCTTCCTTTGACTTACATGCAGGAATGATGGGTAGTAATGCTGCCCGGCCCACCATGCCATCCGGGGAATGGGCATCGCAGAGTTCAGCTGTCAGAGTCACCTGTGCTGCTACCACCAGTGCCATGAACCGGCCAATCCAAGGAGGTATGATTCGGAACCCAACAGCTAGCATCCCCATGAGACCCAGCAGCCAGCCTGGCCAAAGACAGATGCTTCAGTCTCAGGTCATGAACATAGGTAAGGCAGTCCAGTGTGCTTTGCTTACAGTCTTTCTGCTTTCTTTAAATGCAGTTAAAAGCTCTATAAGTTTTTTCAGGTCTTGTTCCTGGATTGCAGTTTAGGTAGTCCTCCTGAGTGAAACTGTCATAAGTGGGATTTTTGTGGGAACTCCATATACAATCATAGACTCAAATAGTCTAAGGAAACCAACTACCTTTGTGGTCTTTTATTTTCATTAAAGTACTTCATTTCACCTTTGAGGGAAAAGTGAATGAGAATGTCACGCTATAAATGCTGTGTTTGTGATATTTTAAAGATAAAGAAAGCATTTAGTGGTACAGCCATAGCTTTTAACTGCTTTCAGGCTCTTAAATGACTCTTCCAAGTCCTCACCAAAGGCTCAGGTCTAATGTAACATCACAGAATGTGAGGATCACTAGAATTCACAGTTTACTTGCTATTAAAATCAGTAATCTGATATGTTCTGTGACAACACTCATGTGAAATGCCCAGCACAAACAAATCTGTAGAGACAGAAAACAGTATGGCTGCATAAGACTGGTGGACTTACGGGAAGAGAGGGACTTATCCTAGTGGTAAAGGGTTTTGTTTTAGAATGAAACTATGCAAAAGTTGATTATGTTGATGATTGATTATACAACCCTGAATACAGTATACTGTGACCCATTGAATCATACACTTTAAATGGATGGATTGTATGGTATATGAATAATCTCAATAAAATTGTTGCATTGAAATATTTGTGGTTGAGCCAGGCGTGGTGGTACACACCTGTAATCCCAGCACTAGGGAGGCTGAGGCAGGAGGATCACTGTGAGTTCCAGACCAGGCTGGGCTACATAGTGAGTTCCAGGTCAGTTTCAACTACATAGTGAGACCCTGTCTCAAAAAAAAAGAAAAAAAAAAAGAAAAGAAAGAAAAGATAAGATTTGTGGTTGGGCCAGGGATTTAGCTCCGTGATTCTGCTGCCTGCCTCGCAAGCACAAGGTCCCAAGTTCAATCCCTGGTACCAAAAAAAGAATGTTTTTTGTGGTCACTGCAGCTCTTGCTTAAAGTTATTTTCTTAATGATTGACATATTCTTAATCACTGACATATTAATCTTCCTCTTATCATATATGTTAGTGTGATTCAGATCAGTCAGTGTTTATGCACAGTAAGAACTAAATCATTCATGGAGAAATGCCAGGCTTGTTTTGACAAGATAACAGAATTCTCATGCAAATTCTGTGTCAGTTTTCTTACCTTATTACCTCATTGCTCAGCACATTGTGGCTTATTATTTCTAGGCGATGGTTTTGTTGTTGTTTCGGGGGGGGGTTGTTGTTGTTTTTGTTGTTGTTGTTGTTTTAGACAGGTCTCAAGCTGAGACTGACCTGGAACTCATTGTGCATATACAGCAATCCTCCTGCCTCAGCCTCCTGAGTGCTGGGATTATAGGTGTGTGCCGCCACACCTGGCTAGGAGATGAATTTTACATTGTCTTTCTACATGGAATATACTGGAGTAATGAGTAATTCCCAAATTAAAATTCATACCATTTGAGGGGTTTTGGCCTTATGAGATGTTGAAAATACCCAGATTTCTATGCGAAATTAAGATTTTTTTTGTTTTGTTTTGTTTTTTGTTTTTTGTACCGAGTATTAAACTTGCGCTTGTCAGGCAGGGGCAGCACAACTAAGAAATTTTTTTAATATTTATTTATTCATTTTTAAATTATAGTAAGAAAACCCTGATACCTAGAAATTAAATTTATTCTCAGTTTTCACTGGAGAACAGCTGGCTTTTGAGCTTTAGATATTGCTCTATAAACTTTATTGTGTAGCTGAATTTCTCTGATTTCTAAAGTCAGAAAAGCCATAAACTTAACAGAAAATTTGCTGTTGTAATGCTAGGGGATAGCATAATAAAAGAAAAACACGTCACCCACTAGCTTTTTAAGCCTCTGGTTGACCTTCTGAGAAGGAGCCCATCTGTGCTGTGTGGCTTCCCTTTGCCTGCCTGACTCTGGAGGCAGAGCTAACTTGGCCCTAAGCGACCTAAACCAGCACTTTTTAAAGTACAGTCCAGCCTCCCACTGCCTTTCAGGACACCTGCCAACCCCGAACTCCTTTCACCATCATAAACAGATGCCTCTTGCCTTCTGCATGTTGCTCTATCCCGAGTGTCCAGTGGGGTGTTCTCAGGGCCCCATGCTATGTGGCATTATTGCAGCTGATGGAATAGCAAAGTCGATGGGAGATTCTGCTGTCTTCTGTCATCCGGACATCAAAACAATCAACAATGGCAGTTTTGAACTTTTCTTTTTTTTACATTTTTCATTTTAAAATCTTGCTTATGTGAACATACATACTGTGTGTTGGTTTTTGTTTGTTGTGGTGGGCTTTGAACCCATAGAGCACTGAGCTCCATTTCCAGCCCCTTTATTTGTATATTTTTATTATTTATTAAATTGCCCATGGCAGTCTCAAACTGGTATCTGGGTAGGTAGGACTGCAGACATGCTCCACACCTAGTTAACTGATTTATTTTTATGATATTTTGGGGTGTTTTTGGTTTTTTTGAGACAGGGTCTCACTATGTAGTTGAGACTGACCTGGAACTCACTATGTAGCCCAGGCTGGTCTCGAACTCACAGCGATCCTCCTGCCTCAGCCTCCCAAGTGCTGAGATTACAGGCGTGCGCTACCACGCCCAGCAATTTTTATCATTTTTAAGTGCATTATACTTTTTCCTAGTTTCAATTTCCTACACAGTAAATATTGCTGAGATTCAATACATATGAAGCAAAAACTAAAAGCATGGTATAGAGCTTCTATCCATTCCTGAAAATGGGTGATTAACCTTGGTATTATTGCCTTTATTTTTGTTTCAAACCTAAAGTTCATCTTATTTTCACCTTGTAATTGTCATTATTTCTGTCTTTTGCATTTCCCATTAACCAGATATTTTATTTAGTATCACAGAGCGGAAATACTTCCTTGATTACATGATGTAAGGTTTTCTGTTCTCTTTTTCTTTCTTTTTTCCCCCTCCCTTTTCAGGGCCCTCTGAATTAGAGATGAATATGGGAGGACCTCAGTATAGCCAACAAGCTCCTCCAAATCAGACTGCCCCATGGCCTGAAAGCATCCTGCCTATAGACCAAGCATCCTTTGCCAGCCAAAACAGGTGAGTCCTAAGATCCAAGATTGCTGAAAGAGTAGTGAACACAAGTTCAGACTCATGCCTGAAATTTGTTTCTTCTCAGTAATTTGTGCCTGACCTATTTGCATTTATTGAGACCATATCAACTATTGGATAGGGGAGGAAAGGGTTAGGAAGGCGCCAGAGGAAATCAGCAAATCTAGGACTTGCCTTTAAACAAGTCACAGGTGAGTTAGAAAATAAACTGTGTGTGCTGATAACTGTAACAGGATGTAGTGTACCATATATGTGCCACAAGAGAAATCAGCCAGGTTTATAGATCTCATCCAGCAGGGATGACTGGAGAAGGTTGCAGGGAAGTTGAGACTTACCTGGAACTCACTATGTAGCCCAGGCTGGTCTTGAACTCACAGAGATCCTCCTGCCTCAGCCTCCCAAGTGCTGGGATAACAGGAGTGCGCCACTTTGCCCGGCCCTGGGAAGATCTTAAATATCCAACTCTGAAGAATTTAGATTCTTTTCATTAAGTTGTTGACATTTTTTGAAAAGTTAAGATGGTATAGGATCAAATTTGAATTTATTATTCTGATTTTCTAATCAGTTTTGTGTCTTTTTAAATGATCATTTCTGTTTTTGTCATTCTTTGTCTTTGCTTAATTGTAATTTTACTGCAGTGTGCCTAGACTTAGATTTGCTTATCTTCTTTTGAATTTTGGTATGTGCTATTTCATTTATGTGTGGATTCTTTTTTATCAGTTCCAGAAAATTTGTAGCCATTTTCTCTTTATTTTACTGCCTTTTCCATTTTCTTTATTCATTTCTGGGGATTTGATATTAAATCTCTTAATGTCTTCTGATACTAAACCTCTTAAAAGTTCTGTTTGTTCACTTTTCATACTCTGTCATTGCTTATTTTTGTTTTTCTATATACCTTTAAACATTACATTTGTAGTTATTTTCTAGATTTGATTCAATGATTTCCAGGTGTAGAATTATTGGAGTTCTGACTCTTAGTAGTGGTGGCCTGTTTCCTTTTTTATGTTTAGTATTTGATGGGGAGTTTATATTTGACCTCGACTAGTGAAATAAGTGTGGTCTGCATTGAGAACACTTGCTTTGCATGAAGATTCATGTTGGCCCTATTAGGGGGAGGGGTCACTACTCCCTGGGGTCTCTTGCAGGTTCCCTAAGACCAGCACAGCAGTCTCAGGTTAGCTCTTGTGCCTGAGATATCTTTGTGGCCCAATACCCCGGCTCTCTTGCTTAATGGTGTAGAAAAACACCTGTCTCCAGTAGCTCAGGGGTACTCCAGTTTCGGCTCCCAAGTGATTTGGTTTGGCTTTGTGTTTGCCTCTTGGAGAGTTTTGCTGAGCCCAGCATCACCACTGTGTCGTATACGTAGGTCTCAGTGGGTTTTGAGCAGGGCACCTAAAGCATGAGTGACCTTGAGGCTGATCGATAGTGTTGCACAGGGAAGGTAAAGAGGTCACAGGGAACAGGTCCGAACCTCAAGCAGGAGGCAGTGTGGGGACAGGAAGGGTGCTGGCAGGGTATTCTGTGCTGCTAACTTGTTAGAAAACTTAACCAGGCATGGTGGCGTGTGCCTGTGATCCCGACACACAGGAGGTTAGAGCTTAGGCAGGAAGATCACCATGAGATCAAGCCCACCTGGACTACACCCTGGACCCTGTCTCAGGAAACTGAAAGGAAAACTTACACTTCTGGGCCAGGGATTTAGCTCAGTGACACTGTTGCCTGCCTTGCAAGTGCAAGGTACCAAGTTCGATTCCCAGTATCACAAAAAAGTAAAAAGAAAACTTAGACTTCTGAGATTATTACCAGAGAATCTTGGCCTGGAGGTTCTTAAAGATTATGGTCAGTGGTTTAATGTTAGGTAATCTTTCAAGGATTAATCAAAGCCTGAAATGATCTATCATTGCCAAACCCAAATTTCTTAAGGGTGGAATATATTTAGAGCTTCTTACTTTCTTTTTAGGGAGGGCAGGTACCAGATATCGAACTGAGGTCCTTATGCTGCAAGGCAGTCAACAGTGCCACTGAGCTAAATCCCGGCCCTTTTGTGTGTGTGTGTGTGAGTGTGAGTGTGTGTGTGTGTGTGTGTGCAGTGGGGGAAAAAATCCTGCAGGTTTTAGATTGGATACTGCTGTAGGAGGCAGTGCTTTCATCGTGTTAGCATTGCCCAGGCTTGGAGTTCTGTGGAGGGCATGCTTTTCTTTCTGTGTACTAAGGGGGCAGTGAGATAATCGGAGCACTCAGTGATTACAACCACAACAGCGTAGCACAATATGGGCCCCACAGTGGGAGAAAAAATTAGGAACAAGTTATTTCACTCAAAGAAAAATAAATTAAGGGAACTGTTGGATAATTGTGGTAGGGAGATGAGGAAGGAAGAGGGCTCACTGGCTGCATTCTGCCCACCTAGGGGAGAAGTAGATGGCTGCTGTCTCTAAACCCCTCACTGCCCAAAAGTCACCCCTGGGGGCTCATTAAAATACAGATTCCAGGGCTGGGGATTTAGCTCGGTGGTTCGGCCACCTGCCTTGCAAGCTCAAGGTCTGGAGTTCCAGCATCGGTACCAAAAATATATATATATACACATACATACATACGTATACAAGTTACAACTCTAGAATTAAATTGGATCCAAGATTCTGCATTTTTAATAGACCTCAAACAATGCTAGCCCCACTGGTCTAATGCAAAGCATCCCTGTGCTTTGAGCAGGGTACAGGCAGCAGAAGCAGGGCGAACTGCAACAAGCCTGAGTCCAGCTGGCATGTGCCCAGAATTGCTTTTCCTATTCTAGGTCTCTTCTAGTTCCAGATGAATTTTAGGATTGTTTTTTCTAATTCTGAAAGTTATGTTGTTGGAATGATAATTGGAATTGCATTAAATCTATATTTTAGAAGTATGGCCATTTTCACTGTATTGGTTCTATCCAAGAACAAGGGTATCTTTCTATTTTCTGATATCCTCTTTGGTCTCCTTTTTCAGAGTACTTTAGTTTTCACTGTAGAGGTCTTTTACTTCATTAAATTGATTCCTAGGTATTTTATTTTTTAGATGCTATTATAAAATGTGGTTTCCTAATTTCTCTCTGTGAACTTGTGTATAAGAATGCTATTAGTTTTTGAGTGTTGACTTCATATCCAGCTAGGCTACTGAATTTGGTTATTAAATCCAGAAGTCTTTGTGGAGCTTTTGGGATCGTCTATGTAGAGTATTGTGTCATCCACAATGATTTCAGTGTTTTTGTTTGTTTTTGTTTTTGTTTTGTTTTGCTTTTTGGTACTGGGGATCGAACTCGGGACCTTGCACTTTCAAGGCAGGCACTGGAACCACTGAGCTAAACCCCAGACCTGATTTCAGTTTTTTAAGCCATTTATCTCACTTTTATTTTAAATAATTCAGTTTGGAAAAGTTGGTGAAATTTATGACCAACTATAGTAATAATGAATTTCTTTATTATAGAAATTTACAGATGACAGATAAACACTTGGAATGTAGAACAATAAGGTTTCTTGTTTCTTTTCTCATTCAGTAGCTGTTCCTTTATAGAATTTTTTTAAATACTTGTAAAACTTAAATAAATGGAAGTGGTGTGGTTTCTCAACAAGAGTGCAGAATTTGACTTTATTTCTTCTCATTCCCATCCTAATGACCTACTAGTTCATTAGTAAAAGTGTAGATTTTAAGATGTGGGCTTTCTGCAGGGGTGTGACAGCAATCCAGCACAAGCTTAGCATGTGAAAAGAATTGGGTTGGATTTCCAGCAACCCCACCACCACCACCAAAAACAGGCATCTCTATGGGGGACAGTCTGTTGGCTGTGTTTTCTGCTAGTTTATTACTTATGCCACCCAGGTTGACATTATATTTATAATTGCCCAGAATATAAGAGAATGACTTCTCCCTCTAGTTGCTGCTCCTTCCCTCCACTTTTGAAGTACCAGGACAGCAGTAATCTGATCACAGATGAGTTTGAAAAGTTAACTGAAGGGGGGTGTACCTGTGCAAGAGGAGCAGGAGGGGCAGCCGGGTAATTTCCACTGCAAGCTGAACTGTGGCACTGTCATACCAAGAGCCAGGTGGTGACGGCAGGAGGGGTGGGGCAGGAGTTAGAGGCTTCCTGGCACTCTTGAATGGCACTGGCAGCCATGTGGCAGTGAGAGAAATTTATGACCAACTAGAGTGATAATGAATTACTATAAGGCATCGGGAGCACAGCTTGGAGCTGGGGACAGCAGACAAGGTGGCATCGAGGGAACACGCAGCTAGACAGTTTCTCTTTACAGTTAACATGGGCTAAACGGAGAACAGAGATTGTGTTGCTGCTGTTTGCTGTCACTGAAATTAATGTTAGTTTCATTAATTGTTGGTTCAGCCCTTCGGTTTTGCAGGGTTCTTGGTCAAATATCATTAGATTACCTAAAAAAGCAGCATATTGGATTGCATCAGAAAGGTGAGCTCATCCCTTGATAAAGTTTAAGAATGAAATCGCTGGGCTGGGGATTTAGATCAGTGGTTCACTGCCTGTCTCGCAGGCGCAGGGACCTGAGTTCAATCCCCGGTACGCAAAACAAAGAATGAATTTGCTTACCTGTTTGCTTTTATTTTTTCTAAGGCATCATATTAGAAGATAAGCTCTAAGAATATAAGATAGACTTTTATTAAAATACAAATATCAGGGCCAAGAATTTAGCTCAGTGGTTCCGCCATCTGCCTTGCAAGCACAAGGTCCCAAGTTTGATCCCCCCCCAAAAAAAACGCAAATATCATTTCTCTTTTCCATGTTAGAGGAACTCAGAAGCTCTTTCTTAAAATCTCTCATTTGTCAGGCTGGGGATTTGGCTCAGTGCTTCTTCTACCTGCCTCATAAGCACAAGGGCCCAAGTTCAATCGCCGATACAAAAAAATCTCTCATTTGTCAAGTAATTTGAATTGTTGGAGTTTTTATACTGTGGAAATTAAAGTATAGTGTTATGGTGTTATCACCTGTTACCTTACATAATAACAAAATTTGCATATTCATTATCTACTTTTCTTATGTATCTAGGTGGGGAAGGCTAATAGCTATATCTTTTGAAGATTTTAAAAATGTTTGCAAATTCTGCTTAGAAATTTCCTGGCTGGGGGTGCAGTCCAGAGGAATAAGCCCGGTGCTTATCTGGCTTACATAAGACTCTGGGAGTTCAATCCCTAGTACTATTAAAGAAAACTCCTTAGCCAGGCATGGTGATGCACGCCTGTAATCCCAGCCAGCCCTCAGGGAGGCTGAAGCAGGAAGATCACTGTGAGTTTGAGACCAGCCTGGGCTACATAGTGAGTTCCAGGTCAGTCTCAACTACATAGTGAGACAAAAAAAAGAAAACTCCCTAGCTGCTCAGTCAAGTGTATTGTAACCCCAGCCGATTTGGAGACAATGAATTTAATTTTTAATGCTGCTAAATGTTTGTGGTCTCTCTTGTGTGATTCATCCTATAAAACAAGAAGATTTAAAATTAGCCAGGATGGTGATACATGCCTGAAGTCCTAGCACTTGGGAGGCTGAAGCAGGAGAATCACTGTGAGTTTGAGGCCAGCCTGAACTACATAGCAAGACCCTGTCTCAGAAGAAAAAAAAAAGACTGGAGGTTGATACGAGCTTCCTGCTAAAGTTCAGTAAAGTCTTTCATTCCTTCAAGTATTGAGGGGTTGGCGAACATCAGTGAGAGTGAGTGGACAGGTGGTGGGCCCTGGACTCACACAGATGCGCGTAGGACCTCTCCAGCACATGCTTTGTTCTCACAGGCCTAACTTTGTGACTGGCCTGTAATAGCCACTGAGGATCTTTGTATTAGACTGTTGGTTTTCTTGGTTGAGCTGGTGCGGGAGTTTGTTACAGAGAGCCCAGTAGTCAGCTAGCTTTTCCATCAGCCTAAGGTGAAGCTCATCTCTTTGCAGGCAGCCGTTTGGCAGCTCTCCCGATGACCTGCTGTGTCCACATCCTGCAACGGAGTCTCCGAGTGATGAGGGAGCTCTCCTGGACCAACTCTACCTGGCCTTGCGGAACTTTGATGGCCTCGAGGAGATTGATAGAGCCTTGGGGATACCCGAGCTGGTCAGCCAGGTATGCACGGGGGTGGGCCAGGGGGCCGTGCACTCTGGTGAGCACAGAGATATTACAGGCAATCTATAGTTTGAGTTACAGAATAGTTTGGCCTGACAGGCTGGCCATGTTTTCTTTCTCCCCATTTGTTAGTCTTACATAAACTTTTTTCTAAGAAGGAAAAACCTGAGAATAAGCTCTACATTCTGATTTAGATGACTGAGCAGAAGGGCAAAAACTCAAGCCCAGCTTACCTTCAAACATTGCTGGCAGGGAGGAGCACAGGAGCAACAGGGAAGAGAGAAACCATGAAGAACATTGCTCCCCATGGCCGAAACCCTTCCCTGGGAGCCACCGTGAGCCTCCGTGTCCTTCCCCCGTGGGCAGGGATGGTAAAGGAGTACCTGGCACGTATGTTAGCGGAGGTCATTTTGAGTATGTGTAAGCGCAGATAGGAATATAATAGGGCTGCGGATTTAGCTAAGTGGTTCCGCCGCCTGCCTCAGAAGCGCAAAGTCCTGAGTTCAATGCCAGGTACAAAAGTAAGTAAATAAACTCTCTCACGCAATATAAAAATGCTAACCAGTCTTCACTTATCTAGTTTCCCCCCTCCTGGCAGGTAATTAGTTGGTTGCTTGTTGTTTTTTCTGTGTTTGTTTGTATTTTAAACCAGGGATCAAACTCAGGCCCTTGTGCCCATGAGAGGCGGCAGAACCATTGAGCCAAATCCCTGGCCCAGTTGGTTACTTTTTAAAAAGTGATTTTTTGCTTTGAGCGTACTTGATAACAGTGACATAGTTAACAAACTAGTCTCCTAAAATCCACCGTCGTGCAGTATCTGAATCTGCCTGCACAGCTACATTCTCTTGGAGCAGTGCTTCGTGGTTTACTGTGGGAGGGTGGCCTAGAAAAGCCCATCGCACTCTTGTCACTGTTTCCTCTTTACATGGCATGAATCATCTTCATTTCTTCTTGCCTAAAAGTACCTTCCACAGTCTGGCCTACTTCTTGGACCTCTGGGATGTCACCGACTCCATGAGAAAGGTGACGCAGAATCATTGGAGACTTTTCTGAGCTATTAAAAATAGTCTTGTCATAATTCTGCATGTGGTAGGCATGTGGGTGTGTTCAGACTCGTTGATTCATATTGAAAACAGCAGAATGGAAAGAAATTACTGAAGGTTCTGTGGTATAATCTGAAATTAACCTGGAAAGGAAAGTAGAGGTTAAATATTTCTTGTGTGAGCTGGGCATGGTGGCTTACACCTATAATCCCAGCTCCTTGGGAGGCTGAGGCAGGAGCATTTAGCAAGCCTGGTCCACTTAGCGAGACCATATCTCAGAATAAAAAATAAAAAGGTCTGCGATATAGCTCAGTGGTAGATACCAGCTGCATTCCATCCCTAGTTCCACAAAATAAAAATAAAATTCCCATGTGACTAGTTGGCTTTGCCTTTAGTATCAGCTAGAATTTAGCATTCTGTGTTTATCCTGACTTTGTTGGGTGATGTTTCAGAGTGTCTTTGGAGTTGCTGAAGGACATGTAACTTTTTTATTTTTAATCAATACCAGTGTCCTGTCATAAATAATTTAATATTTTAGTCTTTTTCATTTATTTGTACTTTTTCTACTTTGTTTCATCAGGTTCTGTCATCATTGTAGCATTGTCATATTAAAGTTAATTATAGAATTGTAGCTGTTAGAGTCAGGAGAAGTATACAGTACAAGTGTACTTTATACTCTTGAGAGGTATGTATTGTCTTTAAAAATGGAAATTACAAATAAAAATAAAAATGGAAATTACTTAGAGTTTCTCTCTGCTAGAGATGGGCAGATGCTCAAAGTTCTGAAGATAGTAACAGTGAATGGCCTTCCCTACTGAGGCCCCAGCCCCTGTAGGCTGGCCACAAAGCAGTGCTAATCTAACTCAAGGGCACTGTGGTTCTGGGACTACATAGGCAGACTGTTTTGAGGAAGCACTAGAACAATATCAGGCTAGAAAAAGCTTGAGAGTTCTTATTGCTGCCAGGCGTTTTTCTTTCTTGAATACCATCAGATTTGTAGCAGTTACACTTAGAAATAGGAGCAGGAAGAAGAGATGCTTTTCCTCTCTGAACACAGTTAGGGCACATTGGTCTGTCCCCCTGGGGAAGTTCTGAATTTTCTGCACCTGCTTCATTGTGAACCAGATAGATAGTAAGTTAAGAAGTGACAAGCAGATTAAATATGTCTACTACATAATAAATGAATGGTGGTAAAATGTGGAACATGTAGGAAATTCTGGCAGCCAGAGACAGGAGTCAAGTAAATAATAGTGCATCATGCTGGTAAACAGGTTGCCAATCACAGACTGGAATGAAGCCCACCCCATGCTAGCCAGAGAGGTTCTTGCAGCTTGCTTCATGTCTCAAGATCTGTGTTGTCTGTAAGATGAAAACAGTGGCTGGTAGTCAGTACCCTGATGATGCTAATCCGAGTCTTGTACTAGAGACTTCTCATTAAGATGATTCATATAGGGCCAGGGATTTAGCATAGTGCTGCTGTCACCTGCCTCACAAGCACAAGGTGGTCCTGAGTTCAATCTCCAGTACCAAAATAAAAAGATGATTCATATAGGCATGAATTATCAATCAAACAATCTAACACTTCTAGGGGACATTTGAGTCCACAAGTCCAGCTGGGCTCTGACTGAGTTGCATGTGCAGGATGCGTTCCTGTGTTCTCAGCCCATTTCTCCCCTTGGAAGAGCGCTGCTGGCAGTCAGGCCTAACCTCTGCTTCTTTCCTTATGAAACTAGATCTATTGAGCACAGAGACATTTTCTAGAAAGAAAAATAGAATCCAGCTAAATACCTTTGTGTAGTAAGTACACAAAAATCTTCAAATGTATGAGATAAAATAGTTACTCGGCTGCTTTTAGTGACTTAATTTGCTTGTTATTTTGGGGCTTTCTTTTCAGAGCCAAGCGGTAGATCCAGAACAGTTCTCAGGTCAGGAATCCAATATCATGCTGGAGCAGAAGGCTCCTGTTTTCCCGCAGCAGTACGCATCTCAGGCACAAATGGCCCAGGGTAGCTATACACCCATGCAAGATCCTAACTTTCACACCATGGGACAGCGGCCAAATTATGCCACACTCCGAATGCAGCCCAGACCGGGCCTTAGGCCCACAGGTCTGGTGCAGAACCAGCCAAATCAACTGAGACTTCAGCTTCAACATCGCCTCCAAGCACAGCAGGTGAGTTATTCAGTGGGGCCTGGAGGTGGGGCACACACAGGAAGGAATGTGAGACACAGCAGTCCGACAGCATGTACATCCTGGTTGGGGAGGGCAGTTGCTTGGGAGAGCTGAGTGGAAGTTAATGTGTTGTTTGAAAATGTTTTGACTCCTTTTGTATGTGTTTAGAATCGCCAGCCTCTTATGAATCAAATCAGCAATGTTTCCAATGTGAACTTGACTCTGAGGCCTGGAGTACCCACGCAGGTAAGGGAGCAGACCAGCTCTCAGCTGTGGGCATACCGGTTACCTTCTCTTGTCACTTCTCCAGATAATCTGAGTCAGTTATGGCAAACCTTTTAGAGATGAGTACCCAAACTGTGACCCAAGAACCCACTTATTTGTCCCCAAGTGCCAATGCTGCAATTAAACCTGAATGCTGAGGTTCTAGTTTAGAAAAAACAACTCATATGTTAACATCTTTTGTCTTAAGAGAAAAACAACACACATGGTTTAGGTTTGCCGCCAATGACCTGAGTAAAGTAACTACTGGGCCACCAGTTCCAGATCTACCCACTGGCTGTGACTGCCTCAGCTGTCTGTGTATCTAGTCTGTTACTTTTGTAGTCCCCTTCTTTTTTTTTTTTGGTACTGGGGATTGAACTCAGGTCCTTGCGCTTGCAAGGCAGGTCACCGAACCACTGAGCTAAATCCCCAGCCCTGTAACCCCCTTCTGTAGACAGCCATCTTACTGCCAGATGCAGATGATTCTTGTAAAGTCGCTGCAGGCACTGAACAAGTGACTATTAAACTGTTGTTTCTATGCCGGGCATGGTGGCACACACCTGTAATCCCAGCACTCAGGAGGCTGAGGCAGGAGAATTGCTGTGAGTTTGAGACCAGCCGGGGCTGCATAGTGAGTTCCAGGTCAGTCTCAACTACTTAATGAGACCCTATCTCAAAAAACCAAAAAAAAAAAACCAAACTATTGTTTCTAGGAGAAATACAGTTTTAGGTTCATGCAGTCCTCTGGCAACAACATTTTCAACAGCCCAGTCAATGCATAACTTGTTTCATGTAAGTTTCTGTTTAAAGACATCATGTATACTATTCATTCACTTACACCAAACTCAGCAGACAGGAAATGGTAGCTCAGGCCTGAAGGAAGCTTCCCTGACACTCGTATTTCCTCTGTAAGCACATCACAACCTTACATATAGGAACACTAGACAGCACTTGAGCACTGCATTTGTGGCCAGTTTAAACAGTTAAATCGCCGATGAAAAGCACAGTGATGTGAGAAACATGGAACCAGTTAGGCTACAAAGGGATCCTTGGTTATAGTCTTAAGAAATTGAGGAGGGAGAGCATCGCCTTGTCCAACCTCAGCTGGTAGTGTGTGTTGGGCATCTGTGCTTCCGGTCCATGAGTAAGCATGACAGTGCCTTGAGTACTGATTTGGTAGGTTCAGATAAACTTTAGCATGCAGGCAGCTTCATGTGGAAGTGACAGATAAGAAGGACTGACTCTTCTGAGGACCCATAAACAGCCTCATGCCTCCTACTGACAGCAAGCACTGACACCGGCCCCTTCCGCCATCTTTTCTCCACTCCCTCACCTGGCTGTGTCCTGGCTCTTTCTTTTAAGGCTCCCTCTACGCCACCACACCTCCTTTCCTCCTGTCTGTGCTCAGCCGCTTCTGAAGAGCTCGGGGTCATACAGTGATTTTGTTCTCTTTTTGATTTGAATGTCCCTAAAATTTTAAGTGCTATCCTCTGGCTTTATGACAGTCTTATAGAAAGGAATGTGTTCTTTTGAGGTCTTTTACCGAACTGTGTCCTCGCAAAATGACTTAAATTAACATTGAACTTAACCCTACTAAGTCCGAGCAGAGGTTTAGAATCACTTTGTGTGCAGAACGTAGAGCCTCACGTGCTCAGTCACCACTTGATCGACTGAGTAGTTCCTTCTGTGTAACTTTATTTTCAAACTGTTTTACGTGGACAGTGGCATTCGTTACCCTATCTAATCTGTGTCTACCCCAATGTTTTCCTCCGTTCATCACCCTTGATTTCAGGCGCCTATTAATGCTCAGATGCTGGCCCAGAGACAGAGGGAAATCCTGAACCAGCATCTTCGACAGAGACAAATGCATCAGCAACAACAAGTCCAGCAACGAACTTTGATGATGAGAGGACAAGGGTTGAATATGACCCCGAGTATGGTGGCTCCTAGTGGTTTACCAGCAACCATGAGCAATCCCCGGATTCCCCAGGCAAATGCCCAGCAGTTTCCATTTCCTCCAAACTACGGTACTGGATTTACATCCCCGCCACCTTTCACCAGTCCTTTCTCCCCAGTGTCCCCCAGTCCTGGGTCACAGCTCCTCTCTCACAGCTCTTTGCATGGCTCCCAGATGAATCTGGCTAACCAGGGAACGATAGGATACCTGGGAGGACAGTTGGGGCCTGTCAGCAGTCCCCAAGTCCAGCACGGTACCTTCCAGGCTCTGAGCTCAGGTACCTCCTTTTCTCTGAGTGCAGGTCTTACTTTAAGAATGACCGAAGTAAGTGTGTGTGTCTGTGTGTGTGTGTGTGTGTGTGTGTGTGTGTGGTGCGCACATCTACCATGCGTGTGAGTGTGCGTGGGGATAGTGTTGTCAGTGTCTGTGAACAGAGCTGCATACATATTTATATTTGAACACCTCTGAGTCTGACTCAACAAATCAATAGATAAAATATTGAAAGATAAATTTAAATATTATATATTCTATAACTTTTAAAAAGTAAAGATTTTAAAGATTATATGAAATCTTTCATGAGTAATTCTTGAGAAGCATTGCATAGAAACCACAATGAGAGACCTATCTTAGTTTTCCTCATATTGATTTGTTGTTTAATGTCAGTCTTAAGAGACGAGATACTAAATGTATAATGTCATAAATGTTAATATTTGTGTGCATGTTTAATTAATAGTTAAAGTATTGATAAAAGTGAGTGCTTTAATTAATATTCCCTGCCCTTGCCTGAGTTAGCCATGAACTACTATTCTTCATATTGATGGAATTTCTTTAAAGAAACAAAAATAATGTGTAGTTTCTCTCCTGCATGATTTTGAACTTTTCTTTTGTAGCTCATTTAAGTACTGTTTAAATATGCATGTTTGACAAGTGTTAGGCAAAATTATATGTAATGCTATCCCAAAAAGGCTCTAAGAAATTAATCATCTTTCTTTTCTAACTCCTTTCCTCTATTTCTTTTTTGATAATTTAGAAAAGTCTGCTAAAAAGCTTTTTGTTTTGTTTGTTTTTAGTTTAGTTTAGTTTTTTGGAGACGGGATCTTACTATGTAGCCCAGGCTAGCCTCAAACATATGGCAATCCTCCTGCCTCAGCCTCCCAAATGCTGGGATTACAGGTGTGCACCACCATGCTCCTTTCTTTCTTTCCTTGTAGTTTAATGCCATTTGTCTTAAAACTGAACAAGAAGTATACATTGAATTTTTTTCCTTACTCTGCTACTCTTGGATAGCAGTAAAGTACTATAGAGCCCTTCTTAAAGACAAAACAAAGCAAGGGACCGGGGATTTAGCTCAGTGCTCCCGCTGTCTGCCTTGCAAGTGCAGGGACCCAAGTTTGATCCCCAATACAAAAAAAACACACAAAGCAAAACAAATGGGAATACAGTTAAAAAAATTTTTAATACATCCATTTCGACCAGGTGCCAGGTACACCCTTGTAATCCCAACTGTGGAAGAAGTTAGAGCAGGAAGATTCCAAATTCAAGGCAAACCTAGGCAACTTAAGGGAGAGTCTGTCTTACAATAAAAGCAAAAAGGCTGGGATTTAGCTCACTTTGCAAGCACATGTGAGACCTTGGGCTCAATCCCTGCAAGCACATGTGAGACCTTGGGCTCAATCCCTGCTACTGCAAAACAAAAAATAGATATTTTAAACACACATATACACGCGCGCACACACACACACACACACACACACACACACACACCCCAGCAGAGGCCCTGTGTTCAATATCTGGCATCACCAAAGAAACAAAAAGAAGGAAGAAAAATTTCACCATGGAGTGACTTAAAGAAAAATTTATATATGTATTGACTTTCGATAAATAGTTGAACTTAAACCCAGTTTATACAAACCAGTTGTAATGAACTTAACTTTTTTCTTTTTGGTACCAGGAATTGAACTTGGGACCTTGCACTTGTGAGCAGGCAACCACTGAGCTAAATCCCCAGCCCTATATTCAACAGTTTAAAGACTTTATTTCAGGTCAAAAGAAATGCATATTGTTGACCCATGCTTGCTTTGGAGAGGGATTAGAGGAAAGAATATGCTCTCTAACTCTAGCCACAATGATTCCCATGGTTCCTAGGCACCCTTTCACCACTGTAGAGAATCAAATTGTGAAGATTTTTTTCTTCATGCTTTTTTTGGGGGGTATAGGGGATAGACCCCAAGGTCTATAAACTGAGCTGCATCCCCAGCACACCCTTACCCCCTTTTTTGAAAATAGTGCTTTATTTTTTTTTTCTTTGAGACAGGGTCTCACTATGTGGAACAGGCTGTCATTATACTCACTGTGTAACCCAGGCTGGCATTAAACTTGTGGCAGTCCTCCTGCCTCAGCCTCCAAAGTGCTAGAATTATAGTCATGTGCCACCACGTCTGGCAATTTTGAGATTGCTTCTTGCTAAATTGCCCATGCTAGGATTATGGGCAGGTACTGCATTCAGCATTTTTTATACATTTTATCTTAGCTTAGAATCTTTAAAGTGTATGTAATTAATCAGCACATAGATCATATATTTGAAACTAATTTTCTGTGTATACTTGATTTAAAATGTCCTTTTACTTTAGTGTGTCTCTGATAAAACTAATAATATCTTTGGCTTCTTTTTTTTTTTGGTCTGTTTTTTGTTTTTTGGTTTTTTGTTTTGTTTTGTTTTGTTTTTTTCTTAAGGAATAAGTCAGCAGCCTGATCCAGGCTTTACGGGGGCTACGACTCCCCGGAGTCCTCTAATGTCACCCCGAATGGCACATACGCAGAACCCCATGATGCAGCAGTCTCAGGCCAACCCAGCCTATCAGGCCCCCTCAGACATGAACGGATGGGCACAGGGGAGCATGGGTGGAAACAGGTAACTCCATGGCTCTGTGTCTCTGTTACATAGATGGGCACCAGGGAAACTTTCTGTGGACTACCTGTTTCTTTTGTGTATTTTTAAAATTTATTTGCTTAAGCATCAATATCAAGTGAACAGCTGAGTAAGCCAGCTTACTCTTCCTGGGGCAGAAGTCACTAGAAATTTACAAAATCTTAGCACTGTACCTCTTGTTTTGGAGTAAAAGGAACACCTCGAAGCGCTGATTTGTCATGGTAGTGATACAAAAGCAATCCTTTATCCGTGCCTGTAATAAAAGCCAACAAAAAGTTCCTTTGATGCCGCTGGGAAAGTGGGGATAGACTTCAGTTGCCTCAGTCACTTACTGGAAAGGAGCAGCTTGGTTGCCCCTGCAGCTTTGTGGGCCACATTCCCTATGTGACGTCTCACCGACCCCACCACCTTCCAGCTGTACCACTGGATTCATCAGTACAGATTGGCTCCCTTGGAAGTAAATGCCTCAGAAATGAGTGCTCAGAACTGCCTGCAACTGTTTGCTGTCAGGCTGTAGCGTTTTATTTCCTCCTTTCCTATGTTCCAGCATGTTTTCACAGCAATCCCCGCCACACTTTGGGCAGCAAGCAAACACCAGCATGTACAATAACAATATGAACATCAATGTATCCATGGCGACCAACACGGGTGGCATGAGCGCCATGAACCAGATGACTGGACAGATCAGCATGACCTCAGTGACCTCCGTGCCTACATCAGGGCTGTCCTCCATGGGTCCCGAGCAGGTGAGTGCAGAGGAGAGGCAGACCTGTGTCTTCTTTTTGTCTTTCTGCAATAACTGCATCTTTCCATGGACCTCACCTTTCCATCTGTCCTGTTCCCACTTTTTTTGGGGGTGCCAGGGATTGAACTTGGGTCCTTGCTCTTGCAAGGCAGGCCACCGAACCGCTGAGCTAAATCCCCAGCCCTCCCACATTTTTTGAACAATTTTTTTTTCCACCTTATTTTCACCTGTTTCTTGTTAATGATGAAATAAACATGAAAGGATTCCTAACTGCTGAAGGATTTCTAAAAATATTTGACTTTCACATCATGTAACATTTTTCTTTTATTTGAGCAGTTTAGCAATATCTAAAGTGAATCTCTGAAAATGGGGTGGTGCCAGGCATGGTAGCTCAGGCCTGTAATCCCAGCACTAAGGAGGCTGAGGCAGGAGGATTGCTGTGAGTTCGAGACCAGCCTGGGCTACATAGTGAGTTCCAGGGCAGCCTCAACTACATAGTGAGACCCTGTCTCAAAAAACCAAAAACAAAAAAATGGAGTGGTGTATAGTTTGCATAGCTTTATTTTGGGTCTATGCTTTAAGAAAAGGCTTTTTTTCTAAATGTAAAACCAGATGAAGCTGGGTGCAATGGTACACGTGAGCAGTCCCAGTACTCAGAAAGCTGAGGCAGGAGGATCCTTGTGAGTTCAAGGCAAACCCAGCCTGGCCTACAGTGAGACCTTGTCTCAAAAACGAAAAAAAAAAAAAAAAAAGATGAAAAGCAAGGGCCAAAAATACTTTCTGCAGATAATCCACTGTTTTTTTTAATTATTGGAATATAGTGCAATGATTTTCTTTTGGTCAGTTTTTTGTGGTACCGGGGATCAAACTCGGGTCCTTGCGCTTGCAAGGCAGGCAACCGAACTGCTGGGCTAAATCCCCGGCTCTTTTGGTCAGTTTTAAAAATAGGAAATGTGGGGCCAGAGATTTAGCTCAGCGGCATTGCACCTGCCTTGCAAGAGCCAAGGTTCTGAGTTTGATCCCCATTACCACAAAAAAGAAGAAGAAGAAATTATTCTGCTGTCTTCATCTACACACGAGCTTCACTAGGTGGCAAAGAGACTGCAAGCCTTGAAATTAGTAAAAAGCCAGGCTGGAATTCAAAACTCTGGTTGATTAGCCAGGCACGGTGGTGTACACCTGTAATACCAGCACTTGGGAAGCTGAGGCAGGGGGATTGCTGCAAGTTCGGGGCCAGACTGGGCTACCTAGTGAGACCTTGTCTCAAAAAAAAAAAAGACTATGGATGATCCAGAGGTAAAACTATAGGTTAGTAATTTTCACATTGCATTTACAGACTATATATATTTTATTGTTGTTGTTTGTTATTTTTGGGGGGGGTTGAAACAGGGTCTCACTATGTAGTTGAGACTGACTTGGAGCTCACTATGTATCCCAGGCTGGTCTCGAACTCACAGCGACCCTCCTGCCTCAGCCTCCCAAGTGCTAGGATTACAGGCATGGGCCACCACACCCATCTTTTATCTTCTTTTTTAAAGTTCCAAAAAAGTACTGATCATGCCACTCTGATCCTCAGTCATTCATTTGAAGTAAAAATGTGGCAAGGACTCTGACTTTTGTTTTAGCTCTGGCTTTGAACTCACACTGATCCTCCTGCCTTGTCCTCCTGAGTGCTGGGATTAGAGACCCCGCTTGGGTATGTTTAATTCTTATGGTAGTAGACCACAGTTTTTGTGAAAATTTACTGAATGTTACAAAGCTTCAGGGTTTTAGTCTGTGAAATGATAAACAAACATGTAAAGTGGCACATGAAAAATTTGAAGGTATTTACTATTTAGGAAGGCTGTACGCTCATGGTGTGTGTCTGCTCTTGAGCTGATGGTGGCTAAACACCTTGAGTAAATTAGACAGACATAAATGAAAGAAATAGAGAATTTTCAGTGAGGAAAAGATAGGTTTGATGCTGAATTTCCTTCAGGGATTGGCCACAAGTGACTCCTGATTTGCTTTCTCAGGGCCACGTGCAAGATGAGGTTCGCTTTGTACAGTAATGCGGTGCAGTCCGCCTAGGCCAGCCCTCAGTACATTGATGCTTTTTTTTACTTTGGGGGGGGTAGGTACTGGGGGTTGAACCCAGGGCTTTCACACTGAGCCACACCCTGAGCCCATTTTTAATATCAGCCAAATTAGGAAGTCAATAAGAACAACTGTAGTATGTCATCTGATACAAGTCTTTCTCTCTTAGCATTTGTACATTTACTTTGTAATTTGTAAAAGTAATACACAAATGTTAACACATAAAGTCACAGGATCCAGCACCATTTTGGAGCATCCATACTTCTTGCTATTTAATAATTTGCTTAAATAGCAAAAATATTGCAACTCTTTCAAGTGACTACACAGTTCTAAAAGTGTGTTATTAGTCTAATTTAAACCATCCAAGAAAATGAACAGGTATGAAAATGTCTCTAGTAGTATTGTCTGTTGAATTTGATTTCTGTACAGAATGCAGATGTAATTTCACTTTGAAGACAGATAGTGTAAGTCTTCTATTTCTCCCCCGCAAGTCTACACTGAGACCACATGCAGGGATGAGCTGTTTTATGTTGTCTCTCTTCCCGCTGTTATACACTCCTAGAAGCAGAGTGCACAGATAATGGTTTCTGTTTTCCAATACTTTGGGTGTCCCATCGATGCTTTTGCCTTGTCACCCTCAGGTAAATGATCCTGCACTGAGGGGAGGCGGCCTTTTCCCAAACCAGCTGCCTGGAATGGATATGATCAAGCAGGAGGGAGATGCATCACGGGTAAGAAACGTGGGCAGGGAGTGCGTGAAGGTCGTGGTGAAGTGGGCACAGGGCTCTACAGGCAAAAATTGGCCTAGATTGATTATCAGCCAGCAAACTGAAGATAGTTACAGAATATCTTCTCATTTCGTTTGGCAGACAATGCTTTGGTGTGACTGATTCTTTCTTTAAGCTTGTTTTAATTGATCGGATGGTGGCAAATGAATTAAGAACCCTAAATTTGCACTGAAATGATATTAGACCAGAGCAAAAACTAAAGTAGCAAAGAATTAATCATATTAGAGCAAACTTTGATTTATTGTTGCTTTTTCTGAATTATGATGTTAGATTTTTAGGCTGATGAGAGGAATTAATATTTCCTCTCTTCCCTGGACCTAAGTATTTTGTTGTGTTTAAGCAACAATCTTATGTATTATTTGCTTGTTACAGCTTAAACACTTGTTCTGAGAGAGGATTGCCATGGTTGCCCAAATCTTGAAGCCTGGGGCTAATGAGTACTGAATGCCCACTCGAAACGCGTGCCAGGCTGCAGCTGCGTTACAGGGAGGGCTCTGTGAGCAGTTTGGTATATGGGCAAGGGGGGTGCATGCCCACTTTAGGGAAGGGATGACCCCCCAGGAGTAAATAATTATTTGTTAAAAACTATCCCACTGGAAAAAACATGAGGCCAATGTTGTATTTCCTCAAAAAGGTGGATGTTGGATGGTCCTGTCAGTCTTATTCAGAGCCAAGAGGGTGTACACAGGCCTGCAATCCCAGCACTCCGGGAGGCTGAGACGGGAAGATCACAGCTTCAAGCCCAGCCTAGGCAACTTGACAATTTAGTGAGACCCTGTCTTGAAATTTAAAAAGAGCTAGGGATGTAGCTCAGTGTAAAGGCCTTGGGTTCATTCTCTAGTACCCAGTAAATAAATAAGCATTCCAGTTTGGAATAACGTAGACTAATTTATGTTTTAACAACATTGTGTTAATTTTCTCCGTGTGGCTGCTCTTGTTTGTAAGAAGCACAGCTGTGGAAATTGGAGATGCTGACTGTGGGTGGGAATCCTGGAGACTGTTACCTACAAATTTGAACCTGGATGGTGTAATGCTCAGATGTACACTCACCCACTCACTTCTATGGTCTAAACCAATTTAAATAGACAAAGTAAGTCAAAAAGAAGGAAATAGACCCTATATTGAACATGTATGTAGATTTGAAATATGCTGTGGATTCCAGTCCTGCCCTGCCCTCCATGGAGCCACAGGAAGTGAGTGGCCGCAGAACTCCATGATGGCTGTGACAGAAGTTCAGGTCTGAAACCTGGGGAGCACTTCCCGAAGGAACAGTGACATTGATGATAATTAATCCAGCCCAACATAACCGAAAAAAGCTAGGAAGCTTAGTCTTGGAGCACATATCTCTGGGGGGGAAATGCATTTGGGAGGCCAGCCCTGTCCCACCACCAAGCTCATCGCTGAGATCAGACTGCCATTCCTCTGCTCCTCCTGGGCCTAGGTGCCTTGGTGGGTGAGGCCCTCAAGCAGGGGCACGCCAGGCCTGGTCTTCTCTTTCCCCCCTGAGCCCAGGAGTTTCCCTACCTGGATCTTTTTTTTCTGCTGGCAGCTTATTATCTCCAAGAAGAACAGACTTGCCTACTCTAAAGCAGAACATGGGAGCTTCCCTTATTCTGCCTTTTTAAAAAACTGGGAACAACCAGCATATATAAAGTCCCTCGTTCAGACCACACCACACCATCTGGTAGCCACTGTTTGGAAGGTTTTATGCCCTATAGTAAATCTGACAATATCAGGAAGTGAATTCGAGCAGACCGGCCCCTGAATGTCATTCCTAACCCTGTACCCCACTGCCCACGTCCCTGTGGGAACACCAAGCTCTGGTGAGACTTGCCTATGGCTTCATGAAGGTAGCATTGGAGTTGGCCAGAAGAAATACATTACTTCCTTTGATGCCACTCCCTTTTGTCTGTTTACTTAAACCCTAAAATGAAGGAAATACTATGCAATAGACAATAAAGATTCAGCCCCCCCACCCCCACCCCATCCCCAGACAAGGTCTCACTGTGTAGTCCAGGCTGGCCCCTAACTCAGAGGCAATATTCCTGTCTCAGCCTCCCGAGTGCTAGGATTATAGGCATGACCATCACACCCAGCTTGCCTTCAAGGTGTTTTGTTTGCTTTTTATTATTATTATTCATGAAGTTTCTTGGTACATTTAGGTATACTGTGATCACATTTGTCATTGGGACTTTGTACCTATACATGATATACCTTGGTTTTTGTTACCTTGAAGTTCTTGTGTTTTTGTTTTTGTTTGTTTGTTTGTACTGGGGATTGTTGAGTCCTTGTGCTTACAAGGCAGGTGGTAGAGCCACTAAGCTAAATCCCCAGCCTGTTACTTTAATGTTTTGTTTGTTTGTGTTCCGACACTGGAAATTGAACTCAGGACCTTGCACTTTGAAGGCAGGCGTGGCGCCACTGAGCTAAATAAATCCCCAGCCCTCCTTGAAGTTAAACCTTATAAAGGGTGGGTTTAAGTACAGCTCCCTAGAATTCTTTTCTGAAACTAAAAAATTAAGGGTTTAAAAAATATTTTAATCAGCACTTATTTTCACAGGAAATACTGTTGACACAGCTGGAAATAAAGCCTCGCTTGAGTTTGACACAAGCCTGAACAACATATCTAGACCCTCCCTATCTCACAAAAGAGAAGCATTTGACACTTTTGGTTTTTGTTTTGTTTTATGGTGGTTGGGTTGTTTGTGTTTGGTTGTATTTTGGTGATACAGGGACTCACTTTGCGGTTCAAGCTGGCCTTGAACTCACTAGGTAGCCTAGGTTGGTCTCAAAAGCAAAGCAATCCTTCTGCCTCAGCCTCCTGGGTTACAGGCTTGCTCGAAGGTCATTTTGTAGGAGGTAGGAAACTGGGCTAAGATGTGATTGGTAAGAGAGCAGCAGCCACTCAGGAGAAGCTGACAACCCTCCCCTACTGTGTCCCCAGAGAGGCAGGGAGGGCCTCACCCCCGCTCGTGTCGGAGCTGTGTGCACTAATGCAGACGCAGGCCCTGATTTGCACTGCTTACAGCAGCCATGTATTGTGATGTCCTGTCGTGGGGGCTCTGCGGGGTCTCACTGAAACCTCGGGTGCTACTTGACTTCGTCTTCTCCCTGCAGAAATACTGCTGACCCTGCAGGGAGCTGGCCGCTGCTTCCCTCGGCTGACCAGGCGCACGTGCTCACAACACCTAGCATCTGGAGAGCCGCGTCTCTGTGCCGACCCTGATCTGCCCGCAGTTCTCCCAGAGCCAGCGAGCAGACGGGCTGGGCCCTGCTCCTGGGGGGTGCCAGCCACCGCAGGAGCCACCTCTTCTCTTTCTGGTCTGAAGCTCGCTCCAGACAGTTGCTCAGTCTGTTCACTGCATTCACCTTAGTGCAACTTAGATCTCTCCTGCAAAGTAAATGTCGACAGGCAAATTTCATACCCATGTCAGATTGAATGTATTTAAATGTATGTATTTAAGGAGAACCGTGCTCTTGTTCTGTTCCTGTTTGGTTCCAGACACTGGTTTCTTGCTTTGTGTCCCCGGCTAATCAGTCAAATGCTAAAGGTTAAGATTTCATCTGGAGGAAAGAAAAGAATTTTTAAAAAATGAAACTAAAGTTGTTTTAAGCTAAGACCTGCATTTGGGATGGAATCAGGGCAGACACTGCGGACAGCACTGTGTGCACAGACACACCCTAAGTGAAGACTGCAGTCACAGAAAGCTCTCTAGACTTTGTTGGAAAGAGTTTCCGGTTCCTGAACAGGCAAAAAAGAGCCTATGAGAGGGCTGTTGATATTATCAAGTTTTGTTTTGTTTTGTTTTTTAGTTGTTTTTTGTACCAGGGATTGAGCTCGGGGCCCCCCTTGTGCTTATGAGGCAGGCGACGGAACCATTGAGCCAAATCCCTGGCCCAATATTATCAAGTTTTGTTTCAGTTTTTTATCTTTGTTAAAATTAAATTAGTTCACCTAAATTATGGATCACGAAGTATTTTTTATTTCTAACTTAAGTTCCCTTTAGATTGGTCAGACAGCTTGAATTAGTGTCTCTCCTTCCTCTGACCCTGACTCTTGTTTCTTTTCCTCTTTGCTTTTCCCTGTTCCCTCTAATTTCCCGAAGTGTTTTGCCAGCCACTTACACTAAATACTGGATTTCATAAAAATACATTTACTGGCAAGGAGAAGAGCAGAGTTAAGACTGGATACCAGTCAGGTTAAGGCCACTGCTCCAAAAGCGTGTTCATTCTGTTCCCCAGCGACTCTGGCCTCCAACATGCAAGAAAAATTCGTGTATTGAAATTGACCGCAGATATCACGACAGATGTAACCTCTGCCTTGTGTTTTTTATTTTGTTTTTTAGCAGTGCTAAGCCGAAGTTTTGTAAGGTACATAAAATCCAATTTATATGTAAACAAGCAATAATTTAAGTTGAGAATTTAAGTGTTTTAATTGTATAATTTTTGTGAGGTATACATATTGTGGAATTGACTCAAAAATGAGGTACTTCAGTATTAAATTAGATATCTTCATAGCAGTGTCTCCTAAAGGTGTTTTGTAAAGGAAATCAATGCCTTGATTAGACCTAATTTGTAGACTTAAAGACTTTATTTTCTAAACCTCGTGATTCTGCTCATAAATCATTTATCTAATCTATATGATATGCAGCTGCCGTAGGAACCAATTCTTGATTTTTATATGTTTATATCCTTTCTTAATGAACCTTAGAAAGACTACATGTTACTAAGCAGGCCGCTTTTACGGTTGTTTTTCTTGTCCACTCTGGTAGGGAAATAATCTTTTAGTCATTGGTATCAGTTTCCTACAACTGCAATACCAAGAAACCTTTTTTGAGCTATTTCTCCCCATCCCCAATACACATACTTTCTTACCTAAATTTCAGAATGGTATCTTTTTGATGTCTAAAAAGCAAAGCATTTTATAATATCTCATTAGCCAGGCTTTTTAGGAACAGAGAAGTTTTTCCTTGAAATTTGATTGCTTTTATGTGGCAGGGTAAAAAATGTACAGATTACCCCTATTTATATTTATATATCTCTCTCTATATGTACCAAGTATGGAAATACAGGAAGAGATATAGCCCAAAGATAAATGGTAAATAGACAGTCTGAAAGTTCTGCTCCATAGTAAACTTTCTGGAAGTTGGCATTTTGATACTTTTTTCCACTTTGAGAGGGATCTCAATCCAGGGAGCTGGCCAAGGAACAGCACTTCTCAGCGGCCACCAATAGATCATCCCTTCAAGAGGTGCTGACCAGTGGGTGGCCCAGCGTTGATGACTCGCGTGAAAAAGGTAGGCCTGGAGCTCGTGGCCCTATCCCAGCGATGAGGGTTAGGTACTGCATAGATCAGCGTGACCAGTTGTAAGTTCATTTTTAGAAATATGTGAGTTGGAGTGACTAACTTCACACAGCACAAAAGAGAAAATGGAGTTTTAACCGGATTTAAGTCTCTTTTCACTATAACACCATCCAAAAGAAAACTATGTTCTTTCATTGTTTACTCATCTGCCCACTTTGTTTAACATCAGTCCCAAGTCAGACAAATCTGCAGAGCTGAGAGACTGGCAGTTTAGAATAATTCATGATCATTACTGTCTTGAAGGAAAGAGATTATAAATTAAATTCTCTTAGGGTTCAGATCAGGTAGTGGATTTTGTTTTACATCTAATTAGGAGAAGAAAATAAGTGAAGGAATCCTCTGATCATATTGATCACTATCAAAGCAAAAGCCAAATCAACTCCCTTCATTATCAGTATTTCTCATGCTGTGCACAATAAATTTGTTAGACTGAGTACTTGGTTTTTGTTGATAGAACAAATAATCAGTGTTTTACTTATATTACTAAATGTGAAAAACATAATGTGAAAGGTATACATACATTAACTTGGTTGTAAAACCCATTAAGTGTTCATGTAATGTGGTAAGTTTAAAAGTGAAGTGAGCTGTTTTACTACAATAAATTCGTTTTACGCAAAGATTAAAAAGTCCCTCTCCCGACGTGTATCTCTTATGGCCTGTAATAATTGAAAGCAATGTTTTTGCAATTTATATAATGCAATTTTTAATCTGTGTTTCAAAAATGGAGTTCATATGGGCTTAACACATGAACTGGGTGGCACAGATCCACTTGCAGAACCCAAAGATACACAATCAATTTTGAAATGCAACTTAAGCCATTAATTGTTGGTGTGAATTTAAAATTTTCTAGTGTTTGTATGGTAGTATGCTGCCTAAGAGCAAAGCATTCTCTGCACAAAAGAAAATTACTGTAGTGGCTTCGATTTTAATTAGAATTTTCTCCCTGGTGTTTCTTTATAGACTAAAACAGTCTTTTAAGTTTCTTACTACAGGTAAAGCTATGTGCAAGAACCTCAAAATGCTAAAATCTAGCATAATGCCTTAGATCTGTTTTTAAGTCTTGTATATTCCTACATAGCTGTCCGATGTATTATATTTGTATAGTGAATTGTGTACAATTTTTGAATAAGTGCATCATCACTTAACCTTTATGTTATTGAAGAGTGATGACGATACATTTCTTCAAACATTTAACTGTCATTTTTTTCTTTTGTCATTTGTGGGTTTTATTTGTACAGTTACTCATAAAGTTGCATCTGAGATGTATGTATATGAAAAGATTATACAAGGGTAAAATTAAGCAATATATTAACTATGGTTCTTCAGGAGAAAGCTTACAGTGTTTCAGGTTGTGATTTATTTTCAAAACAGACTTGACGCAACATCACTTTGTTCACCTGCATTGATGTTTGTATTTCTAGTGTGAGCAGTTTATGCAAAGGTAGATATATTCAGAGAAATTTTAAATACATTTATGCAAGTTAATATTGCTTTGCTGATGCTATTTGCTTATTTGATGTTAAATAATGCTATTGTAAATAAAGAATTCTGTTGTTATTGCATCATTTAATAAATTTTAATGCCTTCGGGTTTTACATGGCTTTAGATTTTAATGTGTTTATATTGAATCTTTTTTCATAATTACATTTAAATTAAACATACCTTATCATTTCTCCCTATATAGTTCAGGCTGGCCTTGAATTCTCTGTATAGTCCATACAGGCCTCAAACCAATGGAGACCCTGCCTTAGCCTCCCAAGTAGTGGGATTACAGTAGCAATTTCTTTTGATAGTAATCAGCACTGTGCATAGCACTTTTTTGTTTGTTTGGTTTTGGTTTTGGTTTTTTGAGACAGGGTCTCACTATGTAGCCCAGGCTGGTCTCAAACTCACAGTCTCCTGCCTCCGCCTCCTGAGTGCTGGGATTACAGGCGTGCACCACCACACCCGGCTGGCACTTTTAATATTTCATTGTCCAAGAACATTTTTAAAAAGTACTTGTGTGGAGTGGTTGAATCCAGGGTTCTAGGCATACTAGGTGAGCCCTCTGCCACCAAGCTGACCTCCAGCCCCCAGTAAACGACTTTATAGGTTTTCAGTTTGAAGCCAAGAAAAGGGTATATTCTGTTTAAGATTATATAACAACTGGGCCAGGGATTTAGCTCAGTGGCACTGTGCCTGCCTGGCAAGCACAAAGTCCTAAGTTCTACCCCTGGTACCAAGGGGGAGGGGGAAAGGGTTATGTAACCATTTAAAATGATATTTAGGACACATCTGTTCCACTGACTCCTAAGCAATAGGACTCTTTGCAGTATTCTGTTCCACTTTCCATCCCCAAATCTCCAGAAAGAATAATGTGAACCTTTGACTAGTTAACAAAGGTTGTGCATCACACATCTCAATTACTTTTCTCATTGCTGAGACAAAATACCTGATACCCATAAGTTCAAGGAGGAAGGGTTTATTTTAGCTCACAGTTTGCAGAGGTTTCAGTCCATTGTCAGCTGGCTCCAAGGCAGGGCAGCATGGCAGAGGGGGCATCGCAGAGCAGAAACTGTCCATGGCAGAGCAGACAGAAGGTAGCAAGCAGTAGCATCAAGCCTGCCTTTGTCTTTCATCTCATCCAGGCTACAGGCCTATAGTTTAGTGCCACTCAAACCCAGAGTGGGCCATCCCATTATCCACACCCAGTACTATGCCAAAGCAACCAGTGGGCTAATGTACTTAGCACACACCTTTAATCTATATTCACAGACCCTAGATCCAGCCACCTCCAAAAAAACTCCATGTGGCTGGGCATGGTGGGTCACACCTTTAATCCCAGCACTTGGGATGCTGAGGCAGGAGAATTACCCTGAGTTCAAAGTCAGGCTGAACTACATAGACTCAGATACACATAAAACATGAGCACATGAGGCTTTCAGGGGACACCTAGATGAAAGCCATAAGAGCACGAGACTATTGCTGGTTTAGTGGATTGATTTTTTTTTTCAATTTTTTTAATGGTACTGAGAATCAAACTTCAGATCCTTGCACTTGTGAGGCAAGCAGCAGTACCACAGCTAAATCCCTGGCCTTTAGTGGATTGACTTGATAGTACAAGTACAGTACCTGAAACCAAGGTTAAAAACTAAATGAAATACCACCAAATACAATCTTGAGTTTTTTCACTCTGAAATAAAAGAGTTTATTGAGCTGCTACAGATGTCACCCTTGAAAGGACCAGGTCCTGGGACAAGTTTCACAGCTACCAGGTCCAAGGCTTCATAGATAGCAGATGGAAATGTATCCTGAAATTATATTTGTAAAACACACTAAAAATGAGAAGAGGTGAGAAAAATCTCTGCTAATAGCTACATTAACAGTGAAATGAGGGGGAAAAAAAAACATGACATGCTATTTGATAAATGTAAGAGAAATTTTTGACCTTTAATCAAAGTCAGCAAAGACCCCACAGTGTTACGGGCTGGGATTTAGCTCCCTGT